TGTAGCCTAGTCCTGTTGAGAATGCAGGGCACAGAGTATAGAGAACCTGGGCCACGAAAATGACCCAGATCGGGGCTTGCTCTCGTACCTGTCAGCGGTGTCACACCACAGCGATGGATTTGCATTCCAACCAAGGCGGAGGCTCGAACTAATCCATGTACACAAGTACCTATTCTGCCTACATGTGGGCAGGGTACGCTATGCCCCGGCTCACGGTTATGCTGGAGCTGACGTTCGTCTCCTATGGTGGCGGCTGCCGCCCATTTTCTAATATTCCAATGAAGACGCCTTGCAACGAGACCCGCTGCAGGTCATGAGGGACTTTAAATTGATCTGCTGCGGGATGCAATGCGTCTTGAAATCGTGTGTTATGTATAGGCATACTGAATGTGGTTGGAATATGTCCACATTATAAGGTCTTTATCCTGGAATGGCACTTACTATTGCCTCGTTTGCTTTGGAATTGTACTGCAATGCAGTCTCCGTGGTTTGATGGGTTTTTGGCGTAACTGGTGTTTCAAAATAGGATGGATGGCTATTGATATTATTGGATCTTGGTATACAGTTGCGGTCTGGCTAATGATATACGAATGACTAGTTGACTCCTTTCTCTACTAGGCCAAAGTGACCCGCCATATTGATTGTACAGCAATGCAACTCACCAACAGAAGTGGAAATATCATTAAAACTTTAGATTGTGATAGCCAGCTTCCAACATCCCAACGCCCAATGTGAACAGTTTACATTCAAAAATGAAAAGAGAAAATAGAACTAGCCTAGGCCTGTCTCGCCCTCAGACTGTGTATAGTAGAATTCTGAATGCTGTGGTCCACGAGTCGCGGGGAACTGGGGTAGTACTTCCATGCATTGTGAAACCCTGGAGTCAACTGAATCCTTGCACAAAGCTGAAAGCTCTACCATGCTAGTTCAAGAATGAGGCTGGAAAAAGAAAACAAACTGTTGGGGGGGAAGGTTTAGCTAGGCGCTGGAAGAGCTTGGAAATAATGACGTCTTTTCAGTAATAGGGACATATCTGTAGAGCTAGGAATATATCCTGAGACTGAGACTCAGTACGCGGCCTTCACCGTGAAATTCCGATTCGGGCGTGCTAGCGAAGAATGCTCTAATAATCATCTAAGCTATAGTCATTATCAGCTTATATTCAATTCACAATTCCATTCCGTCCCATAGGCTGACACTTCGTTGCTCGAGGTAGTCCCCCGGGGGTCACGATACAGCAGAACGCAACATAGTTACTATCAGTTAGAATAATGAGCTTGTTCTAAATTTGTATGACAAGTACTAAACGTCACAGCGGGTATGAATATCGTAGATCGTTACTCTTTCCTGTTGATGTCGGCATCTGCTCGTCGTACATATTACCTCGTAGAGTGGGGGTTTAGATTGTGCATGCAGAGGCGATCTGATCTTCCTGCAACGATTTCCTCGGAAAGAAAACAAATCGGAGGTCAAACTATCACAATCACAAGTAATGCCATTAGTGATTAAAATACAGGACAATAATGAAGAAGCCAACGCATCGTCCATTTGATAGAACATCATGACCTAAATTCGCATGCAAGGCTTCAGGTGCTATCTAAAAAAGTATATACCGCCTAATGCCGATTTTGAACGTCAGAATTCCACGCTCGTATCCGGGTAACAAGGCAGTGTAGTTGCTCATGACGGGCCATGTCACCAACTACCCTAATTCTGTTCGTCCATTACTCTAATAGACCTTATTTGGAAAGAAATGTGACAAAAAAACAGCCACCCCCACAGATGCGCCCCGAAGTGAACGGAAGCCGGACTCCAAGATGCCAAATTTGTCAGTTGATGTGGGAGTGCGTCTGTCTTCTTTGGGGTGCGTTGTTGTTCCTCGGCATATCGGGTGACCCTCGTGAACACAGACACTCCCACACAATCCCGAATGGAGGCACGGATCCCCCACGAAAACGAACTTGTCTGGTGGTGTGTAGATGTTGGGCTGGATGGTTTAGGTTGTTTTTACATGCTGTACAAGAATGTATTTCGCGTTTACTGTGACTTCGGCAATGACTTCCGGTTGGTATCGTGTGGTTCCGAGGCAGAAGGGATGAAAGCGAACTAGGAACTATGGGCGTTAGGATTTATGGGTAAGACGAGTATGTCGTGCCAATAGGTGGCTGGCTGGCTCAACTCTGTATGTGCGTAGCGCTCATATGGTTGTTGGGAATCAGAGACAGGCTATCGTTTGTCCCTCTACATCAATAAATGCTACTCGTATCAAGAGCAGACCAGATAGAGACATTATCAATCCTTTCGTTTTTATTGAAACTAAAAGGGTTCTATGTAATTGACCATGTTTTTACATAGCAAGCAAATCAGAATCATCAGTTTTTTTTCTTTTACCATCGTGGAATAGGGCTAAAGTGGGGTGATCTAGAACTCAGACTGATCATCACCAGAGATAATGACGTTGTTGATCTAATTGAGGTTAGCACCAAGCGCAATGTAATGGATGAAGAGGGGCGTACCTTAAGAACCATGCGGCACAGCTGGGTAGCAAGCAGAAGTTGCTGGCGCTTGCCAATCAGGGGATCAATAGCGAAGTGCTCACGCATATCTACATATCCTAAGTCAGCGGATGAACAGGAATGGGTATAGAATGGTTATATAGGGGCGTACCGTTGGTGCCAGTCATCATGCAGTCAACACCGAGACGGGTGTTCTTCTCCTTGACCTGGCGCGACTTGATAGAGGCAAGGGTCTCAATGGGGCTCAAGCCAGAGTTCTCAGAAAGGGCCAAGGGCACGGCATCCAGCGCCTCAGCGAAGGCACGCATGGCGTATTGCTCAATGCCGGGGCTCTTGACAGCGGCGTCCTCGACGGCAATAGAGCAAGCAATCTCAGCAGCACCACCGCCGTAGACCACGCGGTTATCGCGCACCAAATTGCGGACGACACAGAGAGCATCGTGTAGTGACCGCTTGGCCTCATCAATGATCTATAGATATAATCAGCCACCGACACATATCCCTACATATGGTGCAGAGATAAACTCACCATCTTGTTACTTCCACGGACGAAAATAGTCACTGCCCGGGTGTTGGCACACTGCTCAATCACCAGCATCTTCTCTCTTGTGGTTCCGAAGCTCATCTCACGGACAAGACCAGCTGAGCCGAGCTTGTCGGAGGTCAGATCTTCGAAGCGGGGCACAATGCGGCCGTTTGTGGCAATGGCAATCAACTCAATCTCAGGTCCACCAACCCACCGAACGGCAGGCAAGTCATTCTGGAGCAGAAGGTGGTTGGCCTCATCATCGAAACCCCACTGGCAGATGACCAGGTTGGCACCCGATTCCTTCAGCTGCTGGATCATCTCTGTGAACTTCTCCTTCTCGTAGTCCTGCAGCTTCTTGAATTCCTCAACAGATGTGATGTCAAGCTTGTGCTTGGTCTTGGGCTTGGGGGGCTCAAAGGGACAGGTCAAAATGGCAATTTTGGCATCCCGAACTTCGTCGGGCATCTGGGGGTGAGAGAAGTCCTTGTCCACAATAACACCGTGGACAAGCAGAGAGTCCTCGAGAGATCCACCGACCTTACCGTCGACCTTAATCAATTCGAAGTCGACATCCTTGCGCTCAAAGTCGGCAACCGAGAGCACGGCATCAACAGCGATTTGGGCGAATTGATCGTGGGACTTGGAGACGCTGTGAAAACTGTCAGCACCAACTAGAACAAATATACCGCCAGGAATCCGTACATTTTGCTGCCCAGACTGGTCTTGGCCACTTTGAGGAGGTTGGTGGTATCATCGCTGCTGAAGATAATTTCGTCACTGATTCGGTCGAGCTCGGCAACCGCAATTTCGCAGGCCTGATCGTATCCGTCGGCTATACGGATGGGGTGTATTCCTTTGTCAATGAGGTCCGAGGCTTGTTCAAGCATGGCCGCTGCCAGCACCACGACACCTGTTGTGCCATCACCGATCTCTTCGTCCTGAGACTGCGAAAGTTCGACCAGCAGCTTCGCGACATTGTTTGTGATCTCCATCTAACCATAACCATTGTATAAGTCTCTCGAGCTAAAATTGGATATTTCCGGGGAAAAGGACTTCGGGGGTCGAACCTGTCCGAGAATAGTTGCGCCATCATTGGTGACGGTGATATCGCCGTCGGCAGAAATCAGAATCTTATCAAGACCACGGGGACCCTAAAAACGAGAGTCAGAAGGGTACTTATTCATCAGTTTCCGAGTGCCATACCAGAGAAGACTTGACAATGCTGGCCACTGTCTTAGCGGCAACAATGTGTGACTTAACGGCCTCAGTGCCATGCTGTCTCTTCTTCTTTCCCTGACTGTTTTATGAAAAGCCCCGTCAGCTCCAGATCTCCATCCCCCAACTCTCAATGGTATTTTGAAACGGAGGGTAAGGCGTAGCGGTGAACGTACTCCCGAACGACAATAAATGGCCGTCCCTGCTCGTCCTTCAGGACCTGAGCTATCCCTTAATGTCAGTGACCGAACCGGAAGTGTATCGAGTTATTTGAAGAGTAATCACCATTAGACATATCAAGCTCTGTTAAAGATCAAAATCCACATAGTTAGCAACAGCACATTTCAAGAATGAGGGGTATGGGGTGCGGCCTTACGCATTGCCATGTTGACGGTGGGCTGCCACCTGGCAAAAATATAAAGGTTTTTTTAAAAAGAAGGCACCAACAAGGAGGCCAAAAAGTAATCAAGAGTAAAGGACAAGACAAAGCAGTGAACTTGCAAGTTGAGCCTTGAGGGGGAGCTTCCCGAAATGCACTTTTGACAAATGAAATTCTGACTGCCCAAAGCGGTATAGCGTATCTTGTCCGCCTTCAACGCGTTTCTGCTTGTCAACTCCTCCAATTGCTCTAGATGCGACAGTCTTTCGCCTGAATTTACTATTGCAATTGAGGGTTCAATCCTCCAGTCGCCAATCTGTTTTCTAAACTCTCCACGTTCATCTCACCCTTCAAACGAAACATGCCTCGTGAGTGTTTTCCTCCAATGTTGACTTGTCGCGCGCGCAACGGTGAGCATCTCGGTTGACCCGTTCATTCCCTAGCTCCCATTGAAGATATGTCCGACGAGGAATCCGGCGATATTCCTTTCAGAAAAGCGCCAGAGACAAATGGCGAAGATGCTGAGGACTCCCCGGAAGATGAAGGAGACGAAGATGAGGATGAGGAAGAGGGACTGTGAGATGCGCATTGCAGATTCGGTGGATAAATCCTTCTAACTGAATTCAGCTATGTCGTTGAGAGCATCCGTGAGCACGCTTGGCTTGATGATGTATGTTTACAACACTCAGCCTCATTGTGCCGAGGCGCTAATCAACTACAGGGAACCCTTAAGCTCTTCGTGAAATGGAAGGGCTATGATAAGCTTGAAGACCACACATGGGAAGAGGAGGAAAGTCTCATGTACGTCTAGGCGCTGGTTGAGCTTCGGCTACGCGCATTTATTGACAAATACCACAGGGAGGGAGCAGGCGACATTGTCACAGCATACTATAAGAGCATCGGTGGTCGCCCGACGAAGCCCGAAACTAAACCCGCGGCAGGAAAGCCAGGCCGCAAGCGCAAATCTATGGGTGATTCGAAGGCCACTGCGCCTGCACCGGCCTCCGCAACGAGCGAGGCCAAGAGACAGCGCCGAAAGTCAGCGCCAAAGGAGAAGATTAAGCAAGCTTCCCCCGAGTCCGAAGAGAATGGCGCACAATGGCTTCCAAAGGGGAAGAACTGGGATAAGGATGTGAAAGAGGTGGACACAATTGTCAGGGAGGGTGAAGCAGGTCTCATGGCCTGGCTGGAGTTCAACAATGGACACAAGGCGAAACTGTCTGTCCAGGCCTGCTATGAAAAGTGTCCTCTGAAAGTATGTCCTCCACCATGCCAGAAACAGCGACAACGATACTAACTGTCAAACTAGATGCTCAAGTTTTACGAATCGCACCTGTGAGTCAAGCCCTCCCCCCTAATGACAGCTTGAAGTGCATTCCTAACGTTTCTCATAGTGTCTTCAAGGATACTTAAATCATCCATTTACAGACAAGTTGATATATCACCAAGTCGAAAATGATCCACAAGTGTGATATTTCTAGGCCATTTCTTCAATCTCGGAACTGCAATAGCGCGTGGCCACCGCTACACTGCTCCTTGATTTCTGCAAGTAACGCGTTTTAAATCAGGCACTACTACCCTTCCATTGGTGTTTACTTTTGAGTTCCAATTTCCTCTTTGCGTTCTGGGCAGGTCAATACCGGTGTCTTCGGGGAGTATGTATTTCGTTTCTAGCTACACGCTAATGTTCATTTCTTCACAATTGCAACTCTTCCATTGTAGCTGTTCTTTATTCGTTTTCTCGAATTTTACATCACATGGGTATCATTCAATAAGTCCTGTCTGCCGCGCCAGGCTAAAATATTCCCATCTTTCCTTGTACGCTTCTTCGCCGTGCTTCGTCAACGCTCGCTGTACACGTGAATACTCCTCTGCCTGTAAACAATCATCGTCCTCGGCTGTCCAGACCCCGGGCATATCATCGGGAATACCCTTCCCAGCGGTGAGGTATTCGAGAACTTTATCCGCCATGTCTGGGACCATGCTCGTACATCGCAGAGCATCAAATACGTGGGACTCTTTGGCACCTCGCGCTAGGCGTTGATCAATCCAAGTATCGACGTCGGGTGCGTCCGAGGTATCATCGTCGGTCACCTGGGATGCTGGGCTTGATGGTAAGAATGGGAGTTCTAGGAATATGGGGTCCACCGAGTCTTCAAAGATATTATTGACTGGTGGTCTAGAATTCGTTGCTTGTTTCTTGAATCGACCAAACTGCGCGAAGGCATTGTCCCCCAATGGTCGTGGAGGAGCTGGCGGCGCTAGTGATTCTGTAGCAGCAGTTGGTCGTTGTGAAGTCTCCCGAGTGCCGCGGCGAGGAGTTTGTACGGATCGATTTGGGTCTGGGAAGAGAGCTGGAATACCAAGGCCTTGAAGTGTTCCTGTATCTGATGACGAGACACCGGGAGAGCCTCGTCCTGGGCGTCCAGTAACAGGTGGTGTGGCGATTGCCATGTTTGATGAGTCTGGATGTGGTCCACGGCTATCAGGACGGGGACGGCGTGAGGAAGGGCCTGCAGTTGCAGAAGATTCGATTGCTCTTCTTTTCATAGGTGAAACATCCCTCCGCCGTTGATTCAGCGGTTCAATGACCGGGTCTCGTTTTCGTTTTGGGCTTTGTGTCATACTTGCTTGGACGGGAGCAGGTCGTGCCAGCTGGGGGACTCTTGAGCTAGGTTTTGCTGTGGAAGAAGTTCGGGCAGGTAACGTCTTTGGACGTTCTCCTTCAGGTGGTGCAGATTGTACAAGCTCGTCATATGACAATGGGGTGCCGCCCCCTGGACGGCCTTTGCCGCGCAGATGCTTCAAGTATCTGCTACGCCAGGACTGCCATGGATGAGCGGGAAACTGCGTGCTGCCAATTAGTACTGTATCTTGTAGTCTCAACAGGAACATGAGAGCGTCATACCAGTTCACTTAAATCCTGGTAAATTCTATTACCTTGGACAGGCGCCCCTGGCTCGTGCTCAAATGGATTGACCCAGTCAAACAAGATTTGGTCTTCTTTGAGGGTAAAGAACGATCTTGTGCTTTTGGTGGGAATATTGAAGGCACTCATTGGACGAGGTGCAGAAGGCCCAACCCGATGGGCTTCTAGATCTTCGAGTCGTCCCTTATTGATAGAACGCTCTATGTATTGATAGGAGAACCTAATTTAAAAATTAGTACACTGATTTTGAGCCAGTAAAGAGTTCCGTACGTGTCTTGAGGCAGGTCTTTCCTCGTATGATCCACCAGCTTCACATCGGCATCCTTCTCCATCAGCACAACGGTGCCACCATATTGCTAAATATTTATCAATCTCTGCAAGTTCCAGAATAAATGTGTGCCCCAAATACCTTGATTAATTCTTTAAACCTTGACCTTTGTGGAACAGTTATGGATAGCCAGAATCGTGCGCCTTGGAACAAATTCATTTTTGAAGTTTCAGCCCGAGACGAGTCATGTCTGGACGCCATCTCATCCCTTTGAAAAGCTCCAGGACTTTTCTTCGAGCTTTCGCTCAAAAATAGGCCGGCTTTGTCTGCGACGCGGTATCACGTGTTGACGTGTCACAAGGGGCTTTTCCCCATTCAGCAGCGGGATATAGTGCAAGATAGGTGTCGTCTCACTCGCTCGACTGTCAATTCTTGGGTTTGATCGTATATGAATCCTGCAGTCCCAACCGGCAAGGGCTATAGATGAATTGGTTGGTTCAACCGAAACTGAACACGCGGTCACGTGGATTACACAAAACCGACGACGTGGGAGAACGCGTTGACCGATCACGAGTCAAAGAAGGTAGGAATCAAGAGAAACACTAGAGGATGAAGAATGAACAGTGTATTCTTTAAAGTTTTCGAGTGAATATAAGCTTCATAATGGGGGCCCTCAGAACCATTGGTCTGGTGATTCTGGCGATCTCGGGGTTCACCTTTATCGCGCTGTTTGGCAGGCTGCCAGCTTTCCGGTAGGAATTTGTTCTACAAACCTTTGAGGCTCTGCGCTGACTGCTAAAGTAAAACCCCGGTCGCCTGGCTCCATCGGGCACTCTGGGTGTCCTTTCCAAATGGAATTGCCGTTGTCGATAGTCGCTTGTTCGGCGGGAGGTTAGTACGAGGCTGGAATCGATCTGGTAGCTACGTATTGAAGGAGAACCACCCGCTTGTCCTGGTGAGTCTCGGAATCTATTATTACTCTTCCAAATACTGATCATGCATCGTAGATCTTCTTTACCTCCTTGCTGGTCATTGGAGAAGGCGTCTTTGTCCCGGCCGCGTGGCCTCAGCTTTCGAGCATCCATCGACTCTGTGTACCCGTGGCTATCATCTTGCCATATTTCATGCTTTATAAGTGTATTGTGACCAAGTCATTTATTACAGCAGATAACCATGAGGAAGAGATGAGACGCTATCCGTACGACCGCGTCCTCTTTCATCCGGGGCATCGATGTAGCACTTGCAAGTTCCTCAAGCCAGCGCGCAGCAAGCATTGCAGCTTCTGTCAGGCTTGTGTGTCCCGCCATGACCACCACTGTGTATGGCTGATGAATTGTGTCGGGGCCAACAACTGCATCTACTTCATCTCGCTCTTGGTCTTCCTTTCTATCTTGTTGATTTACGGCTCCTACCTTGGTTATTCCCTACTCTCTGATATACTGAAGGAAGTGGTTCCTCCGGAGATACAGGAGGCCATGCAAGGCTGGACAGTCTGGATCAACACATGGAGCATTTTGATTGCTTCTAATGCCAAAATTGGGGGAGTGTTTCTACTGATGCTTATGACTGCTCCGCTAGCAATATCCTTCCTGGCGTACCATACGTATCTCATCTGGGCTGGGGTGACAACTAATGAGAGCGCCAAGTGGTCCGATTGGAAAGAGGATGTGGAAGACGGCTTTGTATTCAAGACAAGACGAAGTCTCATCTTCGGCAGCCCCCTTCCTATGGATCCATATGATGAACTGTGGCCTGTGCATACTGATCAAATCCTTGTCACTGATGAAAACCCTCCAACTGAGGGATGCTTATTGGCCTCCAACTCCAACTGTATTGCTCGTCGCCCAGGATCTGACGTCCCTCCTGACCCTCGATGGAAGCGACTGCACACTATGAGAGACGTCGACAACATCTACGATATGGGATTTTGGTATAATCTTCGAGACGTGATGGGGCTATCTGTCCGTCGAGCTAAGGAGACTTCTAGTATTTAAGTTCTTTATAACTCTTCCATATTCTGGGATTTACAATTTTGTGACTTAGGAATCCATTCTGTGCTCCAAAACTGCCCTGAGCCCACATCGACTAGTAGCGCTAAAGAACCTGGCCGCGGGGGCTTTGCTGATTACAAACCAAGAAATTCCCACACTCCCAAGAAGTACTAGAAACAATGCTAGATAGTGACAATTCAATTAAAATAACCAAGTCAAGTAAATATAAAATATCAAAAAAGCATTCTACCGGAAACCTTGGAAAGCTCATGGGCGAATGAGCGATAACGATAACGTTAGTGCGGGCGGAAAATTTGTCTCTCCGAATCTTTGATTCTCTCATCCCACTGTGATCTCCCCGCGCTGTTTACTGTTAGGAATACGAGAATCTCTTTGCAAGATGGCAGACCCCAAGCCACTATGCACGCCAGCAGAGCTTATGCTTAAGGTAATCCTTGCAGGCACCTTGAGCCACTACGAAGTTCGGGGCATGATCGATGAAAAGCGCCTGGAGCATATGCTGGCCGCTGGAAAGCAGATCCTGTACAAGACACACCAGGAGAGCGATGTTCGGTAAGACAACAATCTAATTGTCCGTTTACATGGTTTATATACTCATACGTTGCGCGCTCTAGTCACAATCTCGGCATGTCGCCGGATATCTGGCAAGGTCTCACGAACGTCCTCACCAAAGCAATCCCCGTCCTCGAGTCCCAATCTTTCGCGTGGAAGAGCCCCGCAGCAAGCTACGAACACTCATCCGCCAATCTGATCGCGTACAATTATTTCTCGCTGGTCAAAGACATTGAGCGCCTGAATGATCTGTGCACAATCGCTCGCAACCTTCTCGCCACAACTAAGAAGGCGCAGAATCTCGCAGCGGAAACAGGATTTGACCAAAGGATTCTAGCTCTCATCGACACTTGTGTCCGAGTCACCGCTCGTGGCTTCGATGGCGAACAAAATGCGCGGAACGAGGAGCGATGGCAGAAAGTCGTCAACCTTTACAAGCGCCTTCTGATTACGTGCCTCCAGTACCTTCATAACTTCATTATGCACAATGAGCATCGCAAGATGGTGCTCTGGCTGGATCTATTTGGTTACCATTCGACCGCTGATACGAACATCATAAAACCCAAGGAGCCTTTGGACGATGCCAGCTCGCGGGAAGGAGTGGCACCCATTGTGCAAGTTGGAGAGCGCGTCATCAACCCGCCGATCCGCGCACTTTACGACCAAACCGCGGAGGATTTGCTATTGGAGACTATCGCCAAGTTCCCGCGGGAGCCGGCAACTATCAAGGAAGAGGCAGCCATGCTTCTTCTAGCTAACATTAAAGATCACATGGAGAGAATTCTGGGGCGAGACCTCAGCGCTATCCAGGAAATGGGCAGAGACCCGGACCAAGTCAAGGATATCAGGGCTGCTTTGACTGCGATACTTGGGGCTAAGGTTGACGGTTGGTCTGATCTTCAGGACCGGGCTCGCGAGCTCCCAGCTGCGCTTCCCGAAGAAGAGCACGAGGAGCCTGAAAACCACGAAGATCAGGAGCATGAGGATCACAAGGAACATGACGATGAAGAAGAAGAACATGAAGTCACCAAGAAGAAGACCATCCTCACTATCGATCGCAGTCTCACGGCTGGTTTCCCTCGTCTTTGCTGGGCCGATCTTCCCGAAATCAACGATTTCGGTTCTGTTGATGGACCTGTTACAGACGACGATACCAGTATGCCACGGTCAGCTCAATCTGCCGCTGAGACCCTCCAAGAGGCCAAGGACGAACTCATGGCTCGGCTCCAGGAGCCATCACATATCGACGGCGATGAAGAACACGACTATGACCATGGCGATGCACACACGGTGGGGGATGATGATTCGCACAGCCTAGACCACATGGCTGACGGAAGCGTTGACGGAGATGGTGAGGATGATGTGGATGACGATGGCATCGATGGAGAAGCTGATGACGAAGAAGAGGAAGACGATGAATACCGTGGCCGTCCTGGTGATCAGCAACGGGGTCTTCTGACAGATATCCCTCTGGTCCTTGGACCGGCTGAAATTGAAGCTTTGCCTATGATCGTTCAGGCTGGTATTGTGGACAGCTTTGGCCTCAAGGGCGGTGAACGCAATGGGTCTAGAAACATGCAAGCGCTCCGCTGTCACATTCTGCTCACACAGGAGACAGGACGTAATCTACTGCGTGAACTACTGATTTTCATTGCGGCATGGGATCTCCCCGACGATGAGCTCTATTTCAAGATGATGGTCCAGATCATGGAGGCCGTGCTTAAGAACGGGCTTATGTCCCATGCCTACTCAGATTTCGGCCAGCCCAAGGACATAATCTCACCGGCACAGGCTGTTGTGATCAAGATACTCACCCACATCTTCCGAGCCAAGTACTCTCCTGCTTCGGTGACTGGCTCGGCCCAGCCCAACATCCCACGCAACCCGAGCTCGCTCAACCGCGTTGATATTCTGACTGTCCGATACATCTTCACCATCTTCCGTGGCAACATCATTCCTGAGACTTGTGCTCTGATCTACCTCCAAGGCCAGATCCGCGCCCAGCGGGCTCTTTCCGAAGACTTCCCGCTCAACCTGTGGGACATGGAACGGGTATACGAAGGTGTCTACCAGTTCTTGGAGTTCTTCGCCGTGCTCACCGAAAACAACGACTGGAAGAATCTGCTGGTTAAATGGGAGATTGTCTACGACTTGGTGACGTTGATCAAGGAGTTGGAAGCAAGCATCCCCAAGGGTCAACTGAGCCAATTGTCCTTTGGCTCCGTTCCCCCTCCCCCTCCTCCCCGAACCGACGCCGCAAACAATGCTTCCAGCGCCAGTCCCCCTGCCCCTGTTGCCGTCGAACGTCCTTACGATCCCAGCGACCCAGACCCTGTCGACACCGGTGCCGACAGCGTCGGCTCTCGAGGCGAGTCTCCTCCGATTACGGAGGATCCGTCCGAGTTCGAATGGCGCAATCTCAAGAAGCTGGTCGTGCTTGTGCTCTCCTCCCTTGTGTGGAAGTGTCCCGATGTCCAAGAGCAGATCCGTCGTTATGGCGGTGTTGAGGCGATTCTTTGCTGCACCGCCTTTGACGCTCACAACCCGTACATCAAGGAGCATGCTGTGATGTGCCTTAAGTTCTTGCTAGAGGGTAACCGTGAGAACCAGCGCCTTGTTGAGGAACTCGAGGCTCGTGAGGTCGTCAATAATGACGGTGGCGTGCTAGAGCGAAGTGGCTACGAAGCGATGATCAACCAGGCAGGCAAGTTGGCTATCCGATCCAAGGCTCGGGCTGAGGAAATTTTATGAAATATTGACCTTATGTGTGATGAAAATTCTGGACTGTATGTAGAGTAGAAAGAAAACTCTGAATGAACTTACAAATTACAATTATTTTCTTTAGGTACCTAACTGAAGATGCTATCAGAACTATGAGTGTTTTCAAAAGAAGGTTGGTCTACACGGGTATACTATCTGAGGATTCAAGGATTTTTACTATCTGATGAGTTACAATTACTATACGAAGTACTAGGATATACATTTCAAATTCAGCAAATTGATTTCTACCGACCAGGTAGTCGATTATAATTGATATCTAGTAGGTCATCTCGGCAGTCTTCAACTATCCGGCCTTTTTACTAGGACTACAGATATCAAGTTTACTGCTCGAACGCTTATACTCCTCCTCCCCTTCACCTTTGCAAGGCGTCATATAGACGCCTTCAAACTGAAATAACTAATAACAGTGCCTATGATATATATCGGTTCAGGTATGTATATCCACCATAGGCCCATTGAACTATCAGCATCACCAAAAGGATCAGCCGCCGACTGCACCTAGTGCCACGGCAAATATAATATAAACCCCACCCACTCCAGTTCCATCAAGGTGAGCCGCCTCGAAAGACATGGGAGTATAGGGCAGAGAACTAGGACGACACACTCAAACCGAACTCTCATGCGCTATCCCTACGCATAGGAGGCATCCAGAAATCCGGTCTTTGTGTCTTGCGTCTATTATCGGAAGGTACACTGACATTATAAAGCGGTTAAGGCAGTGGGGGTTCATCATGGTATTCGGAGAGATATCCATCAAGTTGGATTCCGCGACCAATATGAGTCTCCATCTGCTCAACGCGCCATGTCAGTCCCTTTATGTCCTTTGAAAGGCCCGATTCCAGATCGAGAGTGCGAGTACTACGCAGTTTCGGCCAAAACTGCATAGCTTGGTACTCTGTCCACTCCTTAACAAGAATCATGATTACCATAATTGTCAGTCCTAGTATTAGAAAGAAGAAAACGAGGGCCAGGGTCTCTAGGGTGGGAGACATTGGGGTGGATACTTACTGGTAAGTATATATAGGAAGTGAGGTATGTGAATGTGGGATACCTGGTTGGGGGTAAGCGAGTAGATAGAGTTGTATAGAGAGGAATGGGGGAAGAAAATACCTTGGTAGTATGTGGTACTCTGGTGAGGTCACGGTCCGTGACTCGGTTCAAGTATAGAGAGAGATGGTATGGGTTAAAGAGTTGTAGAGAGTATGTGATCTGGGGTAAGAAAATATATCAGACAGGACTTGGACTTAATATTTATATGTGAGCTGCGGGAAGATCCTCGACGAGGAATGTAGCTTCACAATGAGACTGTATGCTCTTTGTTAATACGGTGATCAAAGGGATGAACAAAGACATGAAAGAAAGTAAGATCAAAGAGGGGACAAAGGTCTTTGAGGCAGTTCGATAATTAGATTATGAAAGCCAACGAGGTGAGATTCTTGAAAGGACTGGATATCATCGAGGTGTGTAAGGTGAGTATCTGATAGTCGAATGTAGGTGCCAATGCTTATATCTTCTTGTTCGAGTTCAAGATATAGCCATCTTACTTTCAATATCCATTCGATTAGAATGTACATGATAGATGCAACAGTCATTCACTCATGCTAAGATAGGCCATGAAACATCTGTACTGCACATTTATGTACAGTTTCTTGTTTGATCCTTTAACCATACATGCCATCCCATTCCTCCTCTTCATCTTCCTCAACAAGCTTCTTCTTCGCCTCCGCCTTGTCTCTCAACTGCTTCGCAAAGTCCACACGGTCAAGCGGACACGTCCCGCGCAGCCTCAACCAGGGACGCACACACTCCAGATCGAAACGATGTGTTGGGTGACAGGGCAGCTGGACAACAAGCGGGTACGGGTCTTCCACGAAGGGATTGTTGCAGATAGGACACACATCAGATGGTTTTAGGGATGCTTTTGGGACGCGTTCGAGCACTAGATCCAGGCGTTAGTCATGTAAATGATAAACGATGCTTGCGGGGGAAGTTAATGGACACGGCGAGCTAGGGGAGTGTTTCTTACTATCGCAGAATTCCTCATTGACACCCTCTACCTCCCGCGGTGGCGTATCTGCCTGCGCGAGCAGCGACTGGATCATCGTGGTCAGCAGATCGCGACCGGTATCTGAGCTGGCGTTATCGGTGCCCTCCTGTGTGTCGGTTTGCGCTGAATCGGACTCGCGGCGCATCATATCTAGCGCCTCGGCGAGAGAGAAGAATGCTGCGCTCACATCTCCTGGGACGGGAACTGCATGGGGTCTGTGGTCGGGAGCTGGAGTGATCTGGGACAGGGTTGAGAAGAAGGTGGATAGGTCGGGACGGCGGCGGCGGGCGGTTGGGGCCGTTGAAGGGTCGCCGGTGTTGTGTTCACCTGGAATGGTGTTAGCTTCAGTGAGTCTAGTTTTATTGCGATGGGGATTCGTACTTTCATATGTCGACATGGTGGGGGATGGATGACTGGTAGCTATCGGAGGAGCTGTTGAGGAATCTGGGCGAGGGAAGCCCGTGTATTCTGTGACACCTCTGAAATTGTTTGCTTTTGTTGCACAAAATTGAGCTGTGAAAGGGAAATGCTGAGGTGTTGGTTTTATAAAGAAGTTCCCTGAAGGCAGAGAGTTGATAACGCGGCGCGGGAGTTCTGATTGGTTCGTCAGTATAGCTCTTAGAAGGGACAAATCAATATTTTGAGAATTAAATGCACATTTCAATGAGAGATAGAGGGATACTTCTGATAGTCTTAGTAATTTGAATAATTTAGAAGCTTTGAGAGACATTTGCTCATTGCTATATATATATTCGTGGACTATACTCGTACTAAAAGACGCCTCGAACACTCCATTGTTGCATATTTGAATCACATTACTAGAATGTGAACCTATCCAGCCTAAATAGTTATATGTAGTTATATTATACATAAATTATCGAAGCTTCCAGGCCTATACATACCATACTGTCATCTCCAAGGCCTGGGCACCTATGCAGGATGACGCGATTTATAATCCGCTTCCCCAGCCCTAGAGGAACGAACTTCCTTTCAACATGGGAGATCTCATAGCTTCTCAGTATCTAAACTTTCCTTACTCGATGGCCTCACTCCTAACAAACACTGTGCCCTGGCACGAGGGTGAGAAGAAATTACACGACTGGCTTCGAGTCCCCCACGGCGACAACCCAACTGCCCCGTACCTGAGCCCGAGAGCTGCATTTCTTGTTCAACAATCCCCGCTGCTTGCCCTGGGTACATTGGATAGCCAAGGGCGGCCATGGTCAACGATATGGGGCGGCACAGCGGGCTTTGCAAGGCCGGTTGCCGAATCGCATATTGATCTTCGGACACAAGTGGACAGCAAATACGACCCGGTGGTACAGGCACTATTGACCGGCAACCAAACTGATGCATACATAGGAAAAATGGTCTCGGGGCTGGCAGTCGACTTGGAGAACCGCCAGAGAGTAAAGCTGTATGGCAGGATGGTGGCGGGCTCATTGTCCGATGGAGATGCAGGAGATGCACAGTTGGTCGTCCACATTGAAGAGAGCCTTGGGAACTGCCCCAAATACATGAATAAGAGGCATATTGTGCCTGCACTGGCTGATTCCAAGCTGATATCTGACTCACCACAATTGAGTCCTGCTGCAGTTGAGCTGCTCTCTCGTGCGGATACTATGTTTGTATCTTCGTCTCATGGAGCATCAACCATGGATACAAATATTCGTGGTGGCCCGCCGGGATTTATTCGTGTTGAATCCAACAATGCTAGCGGTGCTGTTCTTGTTTATCCCGAGTACTCGGGGAATAGACACTACCAAACGCTGGGGAATCTAGAAACCACCCCGCTGGCTGGGTTTGTCGTTCCCGACTTTGATAGCGGCAATGTCCTGTACTTCACTGGATCGACCGAGATTCTAGCTGGGAAAGACGCGGCTGCCATTCTACCAAGATCGAATCTCGCCGTGCGAGTCACTATTTCTGCTGCAATCTTTGTTGAGAATGGATTGGGCTTTCGTGGCGAGGCTGGAGACCCTTCTCCATACAACCCTAGCGTGCGATATCTCATCAATGAGAAACAACTACCTGGCGCCCAAGACGACAGTGGGTCAGACGCAACGGCGACATTAATAAAAAAGGAAGACATTACACCATCCATCCAACGGTTTCGATTCCGCATCTCCGGACGCAAACCAATTTCATGGAGTGCGGGACAGTATGTCACACTGTCCTTTGAAGACGAGCTGAACATGGGCTATAGCCACATGCGAGATGACGATCCAACCAGTCTAAACGATGACTACGTTCGAACCTTTACCGTGTCTTCGTACCCGGGCCGCGATATACCCGCTGATCAATTCGAGATCATGGTCCGACGGCATGGTCCCGTTACACGATATCTCTCTCGAGTAAATGAACGAGCCGGCCTAGAAGTACCTCTCAAAGGATTTGGGGGAAACTTCCATATATCCACCAAGTCGATTGCCCCTTACGTGGCGGGTGGAATTGGCATCACACCTCTTCTCGCACAGCTTCCAGAATTGGATAGCTCCCAGCTGCGATTATTCTGGTCAATCTCGATGCATGATCTAGGGCTGGTACATGATGTTTTCCAGCGGTGGCCACAGTTGCCCCTGTCAACGACTTTGTTTATCACGAATGTGGATCTTGATGGAGCCGATCGGCAGATGTGGGACAGCATCCAGTCGTCTGGGGTGGAAATGATACGACGAAGGATGCAGGCCGAGGACCTAGACCGTGCGCTAGCAGAGGTATGGTACGTATGCGCTGGTGTTGGGTTGAAGCAGATGGTTCTAAATTGGCTGGATGGGAAAACACTGGTATATGAGGATTTCAACTATTAAAGTGATATTCCGATCTTCTCTTTACAACTCCATAATTTAATACCCCAACTTATTTGAAACAATTCCAAAATGTTTTACGACTTCTGCACTGCCCGATAAAAATAGATGACGCAGCCCCAAGCATAGTGGATCGCCGATCAAGACTGTAGGGGCTTCTCTGACTGAATTCTTTCTTTCATCTTCACATCTTCACATCTCAATATGCGACCACAAGTTAAACCCTCGGCCTACCCGCCTCTACCATTTCATCTCATCCGCTTCCTAATTTTCCTCTCCTCGATCGTGGTAGGCGTGATCTTGGCAGTGTTTACATACCATCTCCACGCTGATGGCTTTAAACTACCATATTCATTCCTGGTGGTAAATAAACATTCAAATAACCATCTATCTTCAAAATACTAACAAAACAACCCAGCTCTTCGTCTCATCAGGCCTCTCTATCCTCAACATCCTCCTAACCTCAGTAATCCACTGCAGCTGCGGTCTATCAACAAAACTCTCCATCTCCCTCAACATCCTCCTGACAATCCTCTGGGCCCTATCCCTGGGTCTCCTGAGCTGGAGCATAGCAACCACAATAACAACATCCTGCACAATAGCCTACTGGGGCAACTCGACCGGCATCTCAGTGTGTCGGAGCTACAAAGCCCTCTTTGCATTCAACGCTACCGGCTTGGTTAGCTACATCGCTGCAGTATGGCTGGATGTGGTTGTGCGTCGTCGTCAGACTCGTCTTGGTGTCTACGATGCTATGGGGTCGCACCCGGGTCTTGATGACTCGGGCGCTTTCGATGTTAAGATGGATGATCGTCACAGCGAGTCTACCCCCGCTTTGAACGATTACGATAACGTGCCTGCAATGTCCGGTGCCTATGATCATGCTGGTGACGCGCAGCATTATCATGATTCAGCGCCTGGTATGAGTCACCGTGGTGCGCCCAGAGTGCGATTTAGTGCCTATGATCAGGGTGGTTATCAAAGGCCCGCTGAGCATACTGGGTATGACCCTGCTATGTATCGCTGAGTGGGACTTTGATAGTTGGGATCTATTTGTTTTTGTTTTTCCATTTTCGTTGATGATAGCAAGCGGGATTGATATTCATCGGGGGTGCATCTCAAGGGTTATGTTACGGTGTTTTGGGTTGATGGGATCTACATGACGGCGTTTCGAATTACTTGGTGTATCACAAATTCAGAAATCCAACGACTCATTCATTTTGGGTTCGTTCTAGATAGATTAAAACAAAAAGATCCTTAGATCGGCTGCGCTCACGAAGCAAATAACCATCCAACCATAAGATAAGATGAGATGAGACAAACCCGACAATGAAGCCGTACGAGAAGATCAAGTAATTTTCGACCAAAGATGACCAATCAGTTTACATAATGACCTCGTTGCACACATCCTAAAAGGAATGTTAGTCAATGGCGAATAGAATAGGAAAGATATAAAACTTACCCGCTTGAGCTCCTTGTAAGGGAGACACACGCAGTTCTGCACGCGGACCTCATCGCCAACACCGCACTCCTTGCCAAGAATGGTGATGCTCTGCACCTTGATACCCTGCTTGACAATGCTAGTAGAGTGGCTACCCACGGGGATGGGTGTGCCTTCCACGCGAGCCCAGGCACCGACACGGCTGCTCCAGCCGATGATCGAGTGCATGACGCAGGCGTCGTGACGGATCTCGGTGTCCTCAAGCACGATCGAGTCCTTGATACGGGCACCGGCGCCGACTACGACACGCGGGCCGATCGAGACATTAGGACCGAGCTTGGCGGTGGGGTCGACGGAGGCGGTGGGGTGGATGTAGACCGGAGGCACGATGGTGGCAGAGGGGGGAGTGAGTTCAGGAGACTCGGCCTGGAATGCCTTTTGGAGGTACAGGGCGTTGGCGGGCACGGCGGAGCCGGCGGTTTTGATCTGGCGCCAGAAGTCCTTGGTTTCGTGGACGAAGAAGCGGTTGCTGTCAGCGAGATCGGAGAGGATGTCTTGCTCCAGACGGAGGACCTCGCTCTTCTCTGCGTCCTCGTCGTCTCCGGTGGCGATGAAGGAGGACTCCAAGTTGTCGGAGGAGGGGTACGAGAGGAGGCGGGGGCGGGTGGTGCGGCGCTTGATGGCGCTGCGGATGGCGGGGAAGATGCACTCAGTAGCGAAGAGGTAGACACCGCAGTTAATCAGGTTGGAAATGTGCGATTCGGGCTTCTCGACGTAGTGAAGCACACGCTTGGTGTGTGAATCGGACACGATGCATCCGAAGTTCGTTGCGGTGTCGTTTGACACACGTGTACCCAAAATAACAGCCTCGGCGTCCTTCTCCTCGAATAACCGCATCATCTCGCCCAGCGGGAATGAGCAGCAGACATCGGCGTTCAACACGAGCAGCCGCTCGGGCTTACCTTTGAGGATCGCATCACGGAAGTGGTATAGGCCACCTGCAGTGCCCAACGCTGTGTACTCCCGTAGGTAGAGGATGCGCAGCTGGGGGAATTCCTTGGAGGCATCCTTGATGAAATCCCGGAACACGCTTTCATCGTAGTATCCGACCAAAATCACTTCGCGTACATCGGGGACCTTAGCCACCGCCTTTAGACAGTGGTGGATGATAGGGTGACCGGCGACTTCGAATAGGGGCTATAGGAGTTGCGGTGTCAATTTTTGTCCAGCGCGGATCTTAATGAACGATTAAATGAGGTTCAAATACATACCTTGGGCACATCGAGCGACAATGGGCGGAACCGAGTGCCTCTTGAGGGGCCTCCGACCTGTGGACAAGGTGTCAGCTATTGTTTATCTATACATAATGACTCCGTTACTCACCAAGATCACAGCCTTGGTGGAAGCCTGAGTATTGTGATTATCACGCATTGGTATATTAAGCATGACGGTATGCAAGGAGATGTGAAGACTTGAATAGAATAAAAAGGCTAGAGAAACCCCGAAGCTCCTAAACGCCAAGACGACGGTTTCGGCGGGGCACCTGACAACATTTTACTCCTTTCGGCCATTTTTCAATGTTATTGTGATTTTTGTTATTTCTGAACTTTTATCTTTATATATATAGATATCCAACTCTTGCTGAGGGCTATAATCTCTGACAATCTTGATATTTGTGGTCAGGAGCCTGATAACCTCACCTCTCAATGACGTGCCTGGTCTGTTCTTATACCTGCCAGATTGACTCCTTTATATTGTAGGTTATAGACATTTTTTCACTGCTCACCAAACTGGCTCGCAGCAATTGAAGAACCCCTGAAATTTTACCGCTTTGCCTTCGAATCCTCCATTCACGATATGATTCTTGTTGAAACAGAAATACCCAATCTCCCCTTAATTTTCCGAATTATCTTCGCCACTCACAACAGCATCTTCAAACCTTCGACAAAGTGACTTTTCATACTCTTCCTTATCTCGGAGCTTGGCAGCTAACACCTTTCCAACATCGGGAGCCCAGAAGTCCGATATAACCCGTGCAAAGTCGTCTTTTGACTGACTGGAAGGTGCAAAAATGGGATAAATATGTTGAGAGAAGAGGTTGAATAGACCTTTCGGGCTGTCCAAAGCATGGAAGTACCAAAGGTTTCCAATTTTCCAACCGTTTCTCATAAGATTTGTCCTATAAGAATGGTCATTGTTGATAGGGGAAAACTGTTTTTCTTCCTCCTCAAAAACACCAACAAACTCTTCGTGGGCCTTACTAAAGGTTTCAAGATGGTCGTCTGTTAGTTCATCGACTGAACAGCCGGTCAACCAGTACGGAGGACGCAACGTCTCCGCTGGTAGTGAGCATGCCCATTCGAGATCATTAAAAAACTTGACATTCCAATCGCTGTCAACGAATATGTTGCTGGGATGGAGATCCGTGAGTCTGTACAGGAAGGGCCCCTCTCGATGGTCTTTGTTAGAAAAATGAGGTAGGAGCGCTTTCATTATCGTCAATCGTGCTATCTGGGCTCGGCCATCATCTGCATCGCTTATAGAGTTTGGCTGGTACCGTATCCGACTATCATGACAAGATAGGAGGTCGAGGTAGTATGTGTCCACTGCTGGATAGGTCAAGCTTCGGCTGATGTTGGTTGGAATTCCCCCATTTTCTAATTGATGAAGTCGAAGAGTGAGAGGTCGATTGGAAAGTTGCAGAGCTCCGTTCGAGTCTAGGGTCCAGGATCCTATGCGGGGGAGTGGTATTTGACTCAAAGAAAGAATCATGCGTGAAAGCCCGCGAAAGAGGTTTGTTCTTTTGACTTGGTCATGACGGTCTTCATCCAATGTCTCTGGAAGCATTTGAACTTCTGAGTTGCCAACGTAGTCCATCACCAAGTACCCGGTTTTGAGTAAGGTCAAACGCTGATGAGATATATAGGGACAAGGTAAAGGGAGCCCTAACAACCATATGATTGATCTTTTGAGTGTCCAGAGAAGTCTAGTTCCTAGAGAGATATTCTCCGGTTTCGTGAACTATATAAGAATATGTTAGAATTCATGTAATTATAGCCAATCTCAATTGAGATCTCGTACACTTTGGCCTCCAACAAGCCCGAACCCCCATAGTTGGGGAATGGATATTTCCGGACAATGCGTATGTATCCAAATGAAAGTTGCTGCTTCACAGCGAAGTTTTTCGTCCACGTTGCCGGGATTTTTGAATTCGCCTATTTTGTAGGGCAAGGGAAACCTAATAAGAGCCCTTTTCCTTAGGTCTTGGCCTTGTTCGCTGATATACAGAGGAATACAAACATTGAAGCTGCCATGGACCCATTCATTTACATCGCTAGTCCGGCAAGTATCTGACGGACATAGACCAAGATGATATGATGCAATACGCTCAATCTCATCGCGATTGCTGTACAGCGACACAAAGAAATCAATGCGCTGTTCTGGGTAATCTAAATCAAGGAGAACATTCTCCTCTTGATCTAGAGCTGACTCCAAGGTGGTGTTTCCCCTGAGCAGTGGCAGGGTGGCTCCCCGACGTGTCATCGGAGTTAAATGTAAGAGAGCACCCAATGCAAGCGAGGAAAGCTGATTGTTTTTGGCTGATATTAGAAATGGGTTGGCTTCAGGTAAATCGATAAGTGTTTAGGTGCAAGACTCCCCCTTTCAAAAAGGTGGTACGACACACTTCCCACCTTTGTTTCTCTAGGCAGATTCATGTTTGCGAGTTTGTTTGCTAGATTTACCGGGGTATAAATACCCCATCCCTTGTGGATTCCACACTACAGATCTCTCTTCCTTCATCTCTCTCTCATTGTATGCTCAACTATCAATGAAACTAAATTGTTGATCGACCTCCGGATAAGGTAAGGACTCATTACTCCTCCTTCCAAGGTTGCCCAGGTGGAAGGTCCATCCTGAGGTCCAACCCAAAGCTAACTAATATTATATATAGTTTCCCTGGGTGACGGGTGCCAAAAATGTCGCACTTTCCGTTCTGGAGCTCAGGAAAATCTCGTTCAGACATATCTGATGACTCGGACTCCACCGACGCCGAGCGCTTCTAGGCACTACCATGTGAAGCCATCGATAAGGAAAGGTTTTGTTTGCTCGACAAATGTTCAATTATGACACTCGATATATGGTCATAAAGCCCTTGACTGCAGCCCATGAGGCAGCTTCACGCGGCCTGCTTGAACACAGTACTATATGCGATACGCGATATGGGACTTCATTGGTCACTCACTCCTTTCATCGCAAATGGTCGATCCGCTCGGAGGGGCTACGCCCGTCTGATTCAAATTGCTTTACAAAACGCTATAGCATAATTTCGGCGGAGCACCGAATAATCTGGCTACCGCGCTGCAAGGCATGAACACCCCGCAAAACCGTGGACCCCAGGGACCACCAGGCCCAGCCGGCCCAAGCGGAGGGTTGGCAACACCACACACGGAAGACATCCGTGATCGGATACTTCGACCCGGACAACAAAGGTTCGGATTCCTCGTATTTGTCGTATGGCGTTCTGTCGATGGGAAGCTCAAGGAACGGGTAGTTGTCGATCTGAGAGGTCTCAACAAGGATGTGATCAAGGACACCTATCCTTTACCAAGGCCTGACAACATTCTGCGGTTCGTTGGGGGCGCCGATAACAATCAAGTCCGTTAACCAAGTAAACCACTACACGAATGTGTATGTGTGGGTGAACCATATGCGAGATATCGCAAGGCTGAAATCCGAGGAAGTAGTCCGGGTGCACATAAGCCATTCCCTCCAGAATAGGGCGACCAATTGCTACAGCTCGGAACTAACGGAGCTCAAGAAAGATGCACTACGGATCCTTCCCCTCCAGAAGAAGGTTGGTACAAGGAGCTGCTTCAGCGCTAGAAAGCAACTACTAGCGGAAGCCCTCCGAGGAATATACTCAACTAAGTTTTCTCCTGAAGACGTTCGACTAGTCTCTTGTTAAAATCAGGACGACAAGTTGTAGTCCCTTATGCAACCTATTCCAGGTCGCGACGTAAAATGGCGGACCATTGCGGTCGAAGTTGGAGTCTCTGAGTCATGTCGAAAGTTGAAGGCTGAGCGGAAGGGTGGCTCACGAACACGAAGAGCGATGTGAAGCTTGTAATCGTCGTGTCTATCTATCGACAGCCATTCAATATCAAGTTGGAGACTGTTGATTGGGACAAAGTGTCCTACGACAGCAGCGGCCCCGCTACGTCCCAACTCTACGGCAGTCCATTACGACGTCCTGCCTACTACAACCCGGCACACAGATCAGCGTGACCGCAGAAGTAGGCTTTGGTAATCGAGTTGGAGGAATTGTTTTGTCCCCAGGCCGTCCCGCCTGAGCATCACCTATTCAGCTAGGAAGTATCCTACAAGGTCTGGCGCCAAGGTTCATAAGTTATTCTTACCTCTATTAGCTCTCTTAGCTTCTTCAAACAATGACACAATACACAATTTTTGCTAGAACGGCAATAAACATGACATAAACAGGCCTAGTCATATATAGTCCTCGAAATATTCATGTTACTTTGAATCCCTATCAGTTTCTGCGCTTATCATCGTCCAGCCCTTGGCTTTTAGATGCGAGCTCCCCCGATTGTTAGGGCTCATATCTGCCAGCGAATAGTTCCCACTATGACGAGGCGCTTCACCAGCTGTGACCGTAACCTTGTGATCTCCACCAATCAACCCTGCCTCTCCAGCATCAACATGTGAAATAACTCCAGTTCCAGACTGCGTTAGATTCGATTTTGAGAGCGAACGAGCGGTAGAGGCCAATCCTTTCGTGAAAAGTTTGATAACAGGTGCGAGAGTAGGTAGGCAGGCGGAAATAACACCTGCAGCGCTCTCGACGACACACCAGGTTTGCGCATCGGCGAGGGTCCAAGCCACATCGTTAATATCAAAGATGAAAATGAGGCTGAAGCGATAGATACTCGCAACCACGACGCTATATCTTGTCAGCACACGTCCATGTATCTTCTTTCCAATCAAGCTATTTGATGGCATATATGGAACGTACAAACTTCCCGTCAAAAACACGCAGATGATTGATACTCGATTCCATAGACTCGCCTGTAACCCCCAGATGAGTTTCACTGGCAAAGCCAAAATACACATGTCCACCACAAAGTTTGGTACCCCGTTCCCGATCAGTGCGCCTTTGAGAACGATGCAATTACCAGGCAGCATGGGATTGAATCCCTTGGCAATTGGCCAGCATTGGAATATGGCTAGGAAGTCCATGGCTATCACCCAAGCGAGAGTAATTGCGCCAAGAATAGAACCGCCGATTTTGATGAAGCGGACGGGGAAAATGCGATAGTACATGAGCAGTACGGCGAATTTGATGGTGCCGGCTGTTGTAATATAGAGTGGTTCAAAGGTGTAGATCAACTGTTGAGAATGTGTGATTAGAAAATGCCATTGATTGGGCTCTGAAGTTGACCGAACTTGGATCTATCCCTCATACCTTGAAAACCACTGATAGATTGACAGGGTGGATGATAGACGTGTGCGTGCCCATGCCATATTCAACACCTTTCGATATAGTTAGCTCAGACTAGGTTTGTAGTACGCTGATTGATAATTAATATAGACGTACAGGCGAGGTTGACTCCCGCAATAGTCAACGTAAAGATCTAGCATAGAGTTAGGCCAGATTATCACCGACAATGCAAAGAGATCAAAAGCTACGAACCAATCCCGCAACCAGAGTCCAGTCATCCGGTCCTAGGTGAACTTGCTTCAAGCGCCGAGCGATTATTCTTAGTGTGAAAAAGAAAATGGCCAACACGGCGAAGACAATCGTTGTGATGCGCTGTTTGGGCTGAGTACTCTCATGCGCATAGCTGGAATCCATTGTTATGGCATGGCCTGTCAAAACAATAATGTCATTGAAGAAGCAGGGGTCGACCTAAAATAAGAACCGTAGTTCTACATATTTGCCATGTGAATCTATTAGCCCAACCTTGTCACCTACCTTGTCAAAGTGGGACATATTCAAGATGCCAAGGCGGTATTTCAGTGCCTATTACCTAAATAGGCATAGTATAGCACTATACAGAAGCCGATTCATGAAAGTTTCCATGGAACGCGAACAAAAAATTTGGCGAGTTCCACGGAAAATGTTGACGCTTAATTCTAATTGATCGATTTACGCCATCAAACAACGCTACTTCGAACCGAGGACTAACATCAAGCCACCTAGTCTACAAGAAGCATCTGAGATACGTTATGCCGAAATGGGATAAGATTTTAGCTTGTGTTCCAGATACAATGGGTAAACTACGAATACGCTAATATGCCGCTCATTCCGCCCTTGGCTTTTTGTTCGTATCTGAATTCTTTTTCATAATAGGAATCTACCTCATAATATCAGTTCTTTTGCAATGACGAACCCAACATTTGTCTTTTCCCTGGGTGCCTGGGTTGTCCCAGCCGTCTTTGATGCTACTCGCTCCCGTCTGGAAGCTCTCGGATTTCCCTCCGAGTGCCCCGCGCATCCTTCAATTGGCGCTGAGCCACCCTCTAAGACTCTAGCTGACGATACCACTTCCCTGCGCAATGTGTTGACAAAGCTCGCAGACGAGGGTCGCGATTTGATCGTGGTTGCACACTCCTATGGCGGCGTGGTGGCTTCCTCGTCTGTCGAAGGACTGAATAAAGCGGCTCGTACAGCCGAGGGCAAGGCGGGCGGTGTTGTGAAGATGGTATACTTGGCTGCATTTGCCCTAGACAAGGGTCAAAGCTTGTTGGGTATGCTAGGTGGAAACTATTTACACTGGATGAAGGTCGATGTAAGCCTTTCCTGGAAATGATGCGCAATTGGAACACGAGATATACGCCACAAGATGACAGAGCTGACTATTGGATAGGGTGACTATGTCCTGGCAGATGGCGCTGGAGAGGTTGGCTGGCAGGATATTTCCCCCGCTGAGCAGGAGAAGTGGAACTCGCTAGCACGACACACCTCTCGTGCTGTATTCTCCGGCGAGTCCACTTATGAGCCCTGGAGCGATATCTCTTGCGCTTTTATTGTGTGTGAGCAGGATCGTGCCATGCCACCCCCATTGCAGGAACTATTTGCCTCTAAGATGGGTGGGCCGGAAAACACTTATCGGCTGCCCAGCTCGCACTCGCCGTTCTTGAGTATGCCGGACCGTCTGGTCGAGGTTTTGCAGCAGATTGTTAAGGCATGAGTGATTTTTGATTTATTTGACTCAATTGCAGTTTGAAAACGTTTGTCAAATTTCCACGTGCATTTAATATAGCACAGCGCCACAATTGGGCGTATATAATGCAGACAAAGTTATTTTGATTGTTCGTTAAACCCCCCCACATTGAATGTGAGACAGTCGCCCCCAATCGCCCCCAAAACCCAGAACGCCTAGGCTTGCTGTAAAAACCTAACCCCCTGAAATGAATTATTAGAGAGCCCGGCACTCGGCTCCATACAGATTATCGGTTCGGCAGTTGAAACCAGGCAAAAGTACGAAGTGTGCAGCGTATATACTTACTCCATGGTGGAGAAAGAAATGACCAGGAACCAATCATATCTACTTCTCCCAGATCGGTCCCAGATGGACAGTTAGTCTCGTCCCGGTGATCTGGCCCTCGGCAGATGTTGCCAAATAAACCCCCGTACCCATTGCAGGGGTCCCATGTAGAACAAGAATGTGATTTTCTAAAGAGCACATCCTTCATATAACTCGTAATAAATTCAATAATTCAATCATAGAAAAATCGAAAACTGACCGGGAAAAGAAAATGAGATATTACTTGAAGGAGATTTCTTTCCATATTAACGAAATCCACTCCATGCTAATCGCACCATCCATTAGCCGATATACCCGTGGACTACGGAGTATATAGATTGATATCGATCAATGTAATTTCTTTTATATATTTTTGTTCTATTATTCTTTTCCCCTTTAAGCCCACAGGAACCACTTCGCACGCACATTTTTATCGTAGTAGTGTTTCATTGCCAGGACGTCACAATGCTTCGATTAGCATCAAGTCGGACGCTGAAATATTGTCCGGGAGAGCTTGCCTCATCACATCCGTTGGGTGTCTCAGTTGGGTTCCATACATCAGCATGTGTGGGGAGTATCCAGTTGAGGCATTGGCAGATGAATCCAGCATTGCCCGGATGAACGGCAAGGCTTCATCCCAGTTGTTTGTCACTGAGGTTCCGTCTGTGATCTTCCATTTCACCATGCCCAATTGTTAGAGGTCGCGTGACCCATTCTGTTTGCTCCCAGTCGTCTGTATAATATGTGGTACTTCCTCTCAGACAAGTCTCAGTTATATTCTCATCTGCTGTCAGATTATGATCACCTTACTTAGTTGAAGCATCGTTCAAACTTCACCTTGATTCTTCCACTATCGCATCTATACCTCCTTATAGAGATATCTACATCAATTAGAGATTCTCATCTACCCAGATCCTGTCTATATATTCATCTCATTCGTCGGATATAACCTCTTTCTAAGAAATGGAGACCGTCTTTCATCGTCATTCAACAAACTCACCAACTCTGTCACTACCCTGGAAACCCTACTCTCGACTAATAATCATTCATCAATACCCTAGTCTACTATACAGAGCAGTAAACCACTTCATCAAAATCAACAGTTTAGTTGTCGACGTCAAATACGGAGTACAGAGTCTGAAGATCGACCCCATACCTCAACAGTGATGGTTCGCAACCCCTCTTCCACTTCTTGAAGTCACAGCGTACATCTTAATAATACTCTAGATTAAAATAACACTTGCCTGACATCCCTGCCTGTTGCTGTATGCGTTACCCGGGATCAACCACAAAGTGTTCCTGGGCGCTGTGTCGACCATGCTGTCCGAGTCAAGCAAATTAGCATCAACGATTTGACCGATAGTCGACATCTACCTAGTGGTAAGAGAATGACACCTCTCTACTACTATGGTGAGGTGTATGGGTTGTGCTATCTCAAGAGCACATCGACTCTTTTTCAGAGACAATCGACCTCCTACAAGTTTGCTTGGCAGACAAGCTCAGTATGCTTGTCGTGTTGAGGAGAGAGAAGCGCAAACAAGCTGCTGAGAATGATAATGGAGACGGACGATTGCCAGTGTTTCCACCATCGCTTTGGAAAGCAGACTATCCAAGGAAACAACTGGAAAACTGATCGACGTTGGCAGCCACAATTGAAAAAATGTATTTGCGTGTGATGTGTGAATGACCGAGAGTTTGGATTCTTTGGGTTCACAGCCACCGACTTCAAGATGCTCGACATCAGATGCGAGGATTGTTAAACACGGCATGCACTAAAATGGACCACGCTGTGGGCCCTAAGACTCAATAGGGCAGTGGAGTGGAGAATGGAGTCGGACGATGGAGTCTAACTTGCAAACATTCAACAGGAGGAAAATCTGAATTTATCAGGATAAGTCCAGGGTTTAGAGGGCCCAACAAAAGAACCCTTGAGTGTATCCACGACAGCAACCTCACAGGATCGCATCGTCGGTAGTAATTGCTACCAATCATACAGCATAAACCTACTCATTAATGGACAAATGGGACCTATACAAGGGTGGATAATGCCAACTCCAGGTGATGCCCGAAGAGCTTACATGGCGAGGACCGGGGACTAGCGCATCCAAGAGACACCGCAGAGAAGACCATCCCAGAGTAAAACCCAGAGGGAGCCTTCTATTGTCGCTATTAGCACCGATTATTCGGTCACGGAGGCGCAATCAAATCCAGCATAACCAGCCCCTCTCCGGCGTTCAAGCCGCACAAGGCGCTCACCAGAGCAGTATAGATTCTCTACTATATAGCCGGAACCAAAGCCGAAACCACCGAAAAGGCGCAGGCAAGAGCCGGAAGAATCAAGGATTCAGTCTCGTGGTTTCAGACGTTCGCTAGGACTAAGTTCCCCAGGAAGGGAGTGTGGCAGCTACGAAGGCTGTCGCAAACTATCCATCTTCTTTCCTTCCTCAAGCGAGCCCATTTGGTCAACTTCGGTAGCCGCATCATTATCAAACACAAGATGATGGATGGCAAATTGGATTAATACGATGTTTGCCAGACAAATGTAGCTAAAGGCTGTCCAGAAAGGTATTCGAGGGCATCCGCTACCTCATCATAGACGAAAAGTCCATGATCGGCCTCGACATACATGATACTGCTCTGGATCGAGCAGCGCTGCCGGGAGATATTCCCCCGGTCCCGTGACCGATATTCCAGCAGCTTGAGTGTGGTGCTCGTCGGCGACTTCTTACAGCTACCCTGTTCTTCAGAAGCCCATATTTTCGCTAGCATCGCCCCCTAACTCTCGATTCCAGCAAATACCCCGCGAGGCCCATGCGAGGGCATCCTACGCCGAATTTGACCGTATCATCGAGTTGGATATAGTAATGCGCCAGTACGATACAAGCCTAAAGTTCCAAACTGCCCTAGATAATCTCTGCGAGGAGTGGCTTACCCGGGATGATTCTAAGTTACTCCTCCAGCTTATCCTCGAGTCCTTTCATATAGGTTTCTGTGACGCAAATTGGGCTGGCACACATGCCAAGAAGGAGCCTTCGACCTCCGGTTCAATCTTCAAGCTGGGTGGTGGTCTGATATCCTGGACTTCTAAGAAACAGCCCTGTGTCGCCCTATCAACGGCAGAGGGTGAGTATAGCGCAGAGGCACTTGCCACTCAAGCAAGGGGGAGTATGCCGAGGCCTCTAGTTTCAACGACACCTAGATCCGTGAGCTCCAGCAGCCTATATTAACAATTCCGGCAATCTATACCGGTACTGTGGCAAAGGAAGCCTCTCTCGAAAAAGGCGAGAATCTCTATAGTGTCATCCAGCTATCCATTGGGAGCCGCGTTATACTCCTAGAAATTTTGTAGACCGAGCGGGACTTGCCAATAGGTCGTTTGGAACAGTAGAGGATATTGTTCAACCAGGCATTCAGCGCTATGGATCCAAGTCGCAACCTCCAGCTTACTATCCTCGTACGCTTCGATGTCATTACTGGTCGAACTATTCGGCCCGATATCTTACCTGCGGTCCCGATCCCCCAGTCCACTCGCGAGTTCTTTATCGGAAACGTACAGTACTCGCGCTCGCATTTCCCCTTATTGTTGGAAGAATTGAATGCCCGCAATTGTTAGCAGTATCTTATAGTGCAAGTTAAAGTGATTTGTATACAAAGGTGGTGCCACATACAAAACACAAATATATACTAGACCTCTGTCAATCGATTAATCGAACAATTTCTTTTTTTGTATGTTGATCAGCTATTTTGTGTTCACAATCTTCCACTTGATCCATATTTCCATCACTCCGTCACTCCATCACTCCATCACTCCATCACATTAGAAACATTATCGAAGTTCACAGTCACTCCCCGAGAACAGCCATTTGAAGCCCACATTTGGCTCAATCAACACCAGTGTAAGTACCAGAAATCACAAAGACCAATCGTCTTTGATGTCTGCGACATCAGTTTGGTCCACATCTTCCATCTCCATGTCTTCATCTCGGACCGAGTCCAACCATTCTTGCGCCTTCGAGAACTTTTCACGCTCTTTCTGTAGCTGAGCACGGCGGTGCTGCCGTTCTGGATCTTCGGTCATGAGATTGAGACAGCGGGCACGACCTAAGTTGTCTATTAGCACATTTTCTAACTCCGCTTCGACCCATAATGTGTATGCTCACCGTTATCGCCGAAGATTTCAAGGTCGTCACGGAGGGTATTCACAAGACCTCCGCGGCAAGCCCGGAACAACTTCATGTGCGTGGACTGGCATAGAACGTCGAGGAAACGGGACGACGCGATGTCATAGTAGGCCAGCGAGCTCTATGACCGCAATTAGTAAATGCCAGGAAATTCTCCCTAGAAAACTTACTGCCATCATCTCAATCTCCTGCGAGTATCTATCAGTAACAAGATGGTCAGGTTGGATCTTCTTGATCTTGTCGGCAATTCGTTCGTCGCTCATATCGTGGCCGCGCACTTTTAACCAGCACGTGGCGCGAGCATTGTGGCGGCGAGCCCTCAATGCGTTCGCAGCCTGTTGCATCAAAATCTGGTGTTGACCTTGGGCCATTGTGAAGGGTATCTCGTGCTCCGACTTGCAATAATCCTTCGCGATCTGAAGGTGAGCATGGCGGAGCTTGGCCATGAATTCCTTGAGAATTCTCTTAAGCTCCTGGTACAATCCTGTCTGGTGATACTGGGCAAATTCCTCCTCCAGAGCTTCAACCAGCATACTATGCACAAGGTTATGCGTAGCCTTGAGGAAAATTTCCATGAGCTTGCCCCAATGCTCAACGCTCCTTTTGTTTAGGTTTTCAATCGCCCGCGGATCAAGCTGGTTGGGCACACCAACCGTGTTAGAGCGAATCTTGAGTTCGGTAAGTTGTTGCAGAGTGATACGAGTGGGCTTGGACCCTTCAAAGTGGCCGGTGCTGTACAACGCCTTCCTCGGTGTTGCTGGCTCCGATGTCGAAGTACCGCTCGCAGGCGACTTTCTCTTCTTGGGTGTTGATATGCTGACACCTACAATCACCATTTCACAGTCGGAATCCACAACCTCCGCCAGGTCCTCGTTGTCCTTCTGGGAAGCAACATCCAAGATTGGACGTGTCTTTGCAAGTGCCATCTGGAGATCCATAACAATCTTGTTCCACTGCTCTTGCAATGGCTTCCTCTGGGAAGCACAGTGCTCGATGCTGGGGGTTCCATCGAACAGTTCGTGAATCTTCCGTTCAAGATCAGAGGTTTTGCCCCAAAGAATCCGCTGCACATCCTCAGTGGGAGGATTGGGTAGTGTCTTCAATTCTGCATCAATGGCCTTCGACTTTTCATCAATCTGGGCAATAATCGATGGCAAAGATCCTAAGATTTGGCGCATCAAAAGGTCAGACAACGCCGTTTGAAGTTGCCTTGTTCCAAAGCGGTCTTCGAATGCTGCGAGATCCCTTGTCCACATCGAAGAACTAAAGAATATTTCTTCCTCTTTTCTAGCTTGGGCATGGCTCACATCCGCGTGGGTGTTATTTCGAATGACATAATAACCGTGACCAAGCTTGAACTTGCTTCCGTCAAGAATTTCACCCCATAGGTCAAAACGTCCATCAGGGGGTAGACGATCCGGCTTCGTCAAGACGCCAAGGGTGCGTTCTTTTGCGCCTTTGATATCACGGACGAGGCGGGCAGCACTGGAATTAGTGGCGTCATCTGTCATGGTCAATGTGAGAAGCACAATGCAATGTTCCTGAGAAACGTAGTCTTTCACCAGATTCTCCACTAGATTCACCAAGTATCGTTCGTTGTCTTGTTCAGTTTGGCTAATCACTCCAGGCAAATCGTAAAATGACAAATTAGGAAGACCGGGACCGGAGATATCCAAACGCACGGCGTTCGGAGAAAACTTGACCTGAGGGGTGTGTGACATATCAGGCATAGTTCCAGGCACAAAATCCTGCGGATCCGTGCTTGGGTTCAAGATAGCCAACTGGGCGCAACTGATAGCCTTTTCGACTTGCTGTTTATTGTCCAAGGTGACAAAGTGTTCATCGTCTTGTCCGCCGAGGGCAATCCATGGTCCCAGGGGTTGCGACTTCTTCGGGACTTTCAGGCGCTTCGACGGGTCAAAGACATATCGACGAGATAGATGAATGACACACTTCCAAGCATCATCGCTTTCAGAGAGATTGATCTCGAGCGGGCAGCGAGTACAAGTTCCCTCGGATCTAGGTACCTTGATCTCGGAAATACCCTCGATCAGGGAACTCTTCCCGGTACTCTGGTCACCGACAACACATATCTTTGGAAGCATAATCTTGCTGTCCTCGATGCCCAAGTGACTGAGGTCTTGTATCTTTTTCACCAGGTTTTTCATGTCCCTAGTGAGGTGCTCAAGAGAGGAACTAGGAATTGGGTGGGCTGGGGTGATATTAGGTAGACCATGTGACACCGCCATTGGAACAGGAAATCCAGCTAGAGGAACAAGGATATCAGTTAAAAAGATGGCCTTATTTATCAAAAGAGACTGGACTCACAAATGGCTGGACTGGGTTCCGACTTCGGAACTCGGTCATGCATGCCTGACATGATGGCAGATCAGGTCTGGAGAAGGGATTGTTAGCAGTTAGCAATGAGAGAGGGGGAAAAACACGAGAAGTGGTGTCCAGGGTCACTGGCTGTAGGGGTTAAGCGAAGTAAGACATACCAGGAGACACAAAAATGAGGCAAAAGATGTAAATTACGATGAGTGTGATTCTCAAGGCCAAGGTGGCTGAGAGGGTGGAAGGCACCACAGGTGATGAGGCGTATCAGAGTGCGAAGAGATAAAGAAAATGCAAATCTGCAGGAACTGATATCAGCAGATAACAGGATAAAGGCGTGGTCGAGGTCGAGGAGATGGTTGATGAAGAGATATGAAGAAGAAAGATAGGTAGGGAGGGGTAAAAAGGGGCGAGAAAGATGGTGTGTAGAAAAGGCAAGCAGAATAATTGAGATAGCTTGAGAACGAGAGAAAAGAAAGAACGCAAGAGGTCAACAGCTACCGAGGATAACAGAAGAGACGGAAGACAGTCGACACCGTGTTGTGACGAAAAGATACTACTGAGTTGAAGACCTTTCTTCTATAGGCATATATCACTCTTCTTCAAGCTCTATATCCCTACAGAATTGAATTGATACAGATTGGAGTAACTAAGTCTCATACCTAGTGTAGTTGACATGGGCGAATAGGGCAGACATTGAGACAAGCATAGAACTCGGATCTAGTAGCCGTCTCCGTTGATATGTTGATCAATGCCATGTATCACGCTGTCTTATTGTATTCTATTCATGTTCACTTTCCAAATCAGCATGTTTACCCACTTCAAAGTAGATATAGGCATCATTTCCTTCTCTTCCTACCTCTCATAGATTGGATCTTGCTTTGCATAGGGAGTAGATTCCAAGTAAACAACAGTTTAACTGGTGCCGGTCTGGTAATTGCAAGGATCATTTGCCCGACAATTCAAGGAGCAGCCTCCCAATCTTGAAACCAAGCTGTTTATTCGCTGCAGTTTGGCACGATATTCCATAATGGTTTGTAGGTACGCCTGCCCATTGAGTAAGCTATAGTTGATACTCTAACAAATCAAGACATCAAATTTCTGGTAGTAGATGATCTATCAACTTTTTGTACGTTCAAATAGAAAAAACAAGAAGTACACCAGAAGTAATTGCAATTCTTGAGAATGACGATATAGATATACCCGTGCCCTAAACCCTACATCCTAATTGAGTATCCCCGAACTAAATCTCGATGGGAGATAGGAAGTAGAGTCCAGACAGTAGAAGATAATTTTCAAAATAAAGAACTTATTTAGATACTTACACCTCTATCTCCGTGTCATTTGAATGGGTCAAATAAAAGAATGAGTCATGAGGGTATCCCCGCGTACATAGTTGTATGTGACCAATTAGATCACATGCCGATCCCGCCCAAAAATTCATGTTATCCCACCATCCCACCATCCCACTTTTTGCTCTCTGTAACCAACACATTATGGCGGATTCCAACCCTGTTCAAGAGGCTACTGCCTCCATCGCCAACCTTCTTCTCGACGAAGTCACCGGCGAGAAAGTCTCCAAGACTGAATTGAAGAGACGCCAGAAGCAGCGTGAGAAGGACGCCAAGAAGAAGGAGAAGGAAGCTGCTGCTCCCCCTAAGCCCAAGGCTGAAAAGAAGACATCTGCTGAGGAAGATGAGGCCAACCTGACTCCTAACGTTAGTCCTGTTACTTCTGGGTCAATTCCCGGCTTCTGCGTAAGCTAATTAATGCGTCATTCTAGCAATACTTCGAGATTCGCTGCAAGAAGATCAACAAGCTGCGCGAGACCAAGCAGCCGGATCCCTACCCGCACAAGTTCCATGTCGATACCGACCTCCGCAACTTCCTCAAGGAATATGAGGGTCTCCAGAAGGGCGAGCAGAAGCCCGAGGTTACCGTTCGCGTTGCTGGCCGTATCTACACCAAGCGTACCTCCGGCAACAAGCTGAACTTCTACGATATCCGCACCGAAGGTGTCAAGGTCCAGGTCATGTGCCAAGCGCAATTCTCTACCGGAAAGCCCTTTGAAGAACAGCACGAGCTACTTCGCAGAGGTGATATCGTGGGAATCGTTGGTTTCCCCGGTAGAACTAACCCCAAGAACCGTGACGATGGTGAACTTTCCATCTTCGCTACTGAAGTTATTCTCCTAACACCTTGCCTTCACGCCATTCCTTCCGAACACTACGGCTTCCAGGACAAGGAGCTACGTTTCCGTCAGCGCTACCTGGATCTTATCATGAATGATAGTTCACGTCAGATCATCCAGAAGAGAGCAAAGATTGTCTCCTACATCCGTCAGTATCTCGATAGCCGTGATTTCACTGAGGTTGAGACTCCTATGATGAATGCTATTGCTGGTGGTGCCACCGCTAAGCCCTTTGTAACCCACCATAATGACCTCGACATGAACCTCTTCATGCGTGTTGCTCCTGAGCTTTATCTCAAGATGCTGGTCGTTGGTGGACTGAACCGGGTCTACGAGCTCAATAAGCAGTTCCGCAACGAGGGCATTGACCTTACTCACAACCCTGAATTCACCACCTGCGAGTTCTACCAGGCTTACGCTGATGTGTACGACCTGATGGACATGACCGAGGACCTCGTTTCCGGTCTGGTTAAGCACATTACTGGTGGTTATGAGACCGTATTCCACACCCAGTCTGGCGAAACCTACAACGTGAACTGGAAGGGCCCCTGGCGACGAGTGGAGATGATGCCTGCTCTAGAGGAGGCCTGCGGCGAAAAGTTCCCTCCTGGTGACCAGCTCCACACCCAGGAGACCAATGATTTCCTCAAGCGCATTTTGAAGAAGATGAACGTGGAATGCTCGGCTCCTCATACTAATGCTCGCATGCTTGACAAACTGGTTGGCGAATTTATCGAGAACACTTGCATCAACCCTACCTTTATCACCGGCCACCCCCAGATGATGTCGCCACTTGCCAAGAAGCACCGCCAAATGGCCGGTCTTTGCGAGCGCTTTGAGGCTTTCGTTTGGTAAGTTATCACTCAACTCATAATTACTTGGAACCTCCCTATGCGTCCAATTTTGCACCAAGAACTGGCCAATCATCTTTCAGGGAATTTTAGCTAACTCACTACAATTATAGCACCAAGGAGATTGTCAATGCTTATACCGAGTTGAATGATCCCTTTGACCAGCGTATGCGCTTCGAGGAGCAGGCCAACCAGAAGGCTCAGGGTGATGACGAGGCTCAGATGATTGATGAGACTTTCTGCCAATCCCTCGAGTACGGTCTGCCCCCGACTGGTGGCTGGGGTATGGGTATTGACCGCCTGGTCATGTTCATTACCAACAACTACAGCATCAAGGAGGTTATGACCTTCCCCATGATGAAGGAGGACAAGACCGCTGCCGACCCCAAGACTGCTGCCGAGGTCGTCGGTATTGAGCCTACCCCCGAAGAAGGAATCCGTATGTTATTAATATCAGCAAATTTCCACGAACCGGTATCACTGACGATGAATATACAGCCCACAAATGAATAAAGTGATATGATTGCCCGACATCAGAATGTTATGCTATTGATGTGTGATGCGTCTTGGGAGATTACATTCTCTGTCTTATGAAAAATACAGCAGATAAAATAGGTGTTCAGAATATCTCTGCCAAATAGCCAATTTTCAAACAACTTCCTTGTATTCGTCCAAGATCAGAGTCGGTACATGTAGAACAGAAGATATCTCATCTGCATAAGGTAGGAAGGCCACCTAGGCATGGACATCTCACTGACATTCAGCCCGAATACGGTTGACTAGAGGTTGATCAACTGTTAAAATTTAATCAAGTATACCTGGGCAACATTGTCAAGGGTTCCGATCTGTTTGCTTGTCCTTGAGCGGCACTCCCCTCAAACTACCAGGCGTCATCCGATCCCATGAGACTGTATATAACAATGCCCAGTACAACTTGCATCTGAGACTCTTCATCAACCCCAAGCCTTTTATCTACACCTACCACATATCCATATTCATTTCCATTTCGTACATCTCCTATTCCTTCAGTTTGTTCAGCACTTTCTTCAAACATTATCAAGTACCATCGAGCTCTGTTGCAAATCATGGCGAATAATACTATGCCTCTCCCTCGCATCCCAGACCTGAGTCTCCCGTCTTTTCGAGAGCTCGACGAGTCTATCGAGGCCAACAGGCGCAACCAACCGAGCTCGCATCTTTCTGATAACACACATGACGAAACAGACAGCATTGCCTCATCTTCGTCACAAAATATCAATACCCTTCCCAACCAGTATCCACCCTATCCAGCTCAAGGATGGCTTTTACCGCCTGACCCCAGCCAGAATGTTTGTACTTATCCATCTCGCCTTGAGGTATCATTCTAAAATCTAGCTAGGCTTTTCGAGAACCCGGATTTAACTACCAAACCGTGCGCGCAGAATGATAGATATTGACTGTGTATCATACATAGCTGACATTCCAACAGCAGGGCCCTGCCAAGGTGCTTCAACCGTCTGTCAGGGCGCTTCAACCCGATGTGAACGTTGGCAGGGGTAAGGAAGAAATAAGAAGACTATTCATTTCAGGCCTGAAGTACCGCTCACGCACCCATCCTACAGAGATAACCCCCACCCCTCAACTTTGTCTTCCTCTGAATGAACCTCAGACATCACCAATCCCAACGCAGTCGACTCCTAGCTCCGCACACACAACGTTAACACTCCGCGGACAACCATCTCCAAGCATTCCGATATCAGCAACGGAGACCTCCCCCAGCCAGACTCAAGCAATCTTAGCAAATCCGCAGCAACCCAACGAGCAACCTCGCCGTCAAAGGGTGAACCGCGATGGAGCCGCAAACCACCGAGCCCAGAGACGCCGAGTGGGCGTTCACTTCTCGGAGGTAGCAGCCCACACCGCAAAATGCGATGTCTGCAACAAGCGTAACAAGAACGGCATGGCTCGCTGCCAGAACTGCGGCTGGCAAATCTGCCGCAAGTGTCTGACCGATCGAAACGGAGACAGAACACATGCTTCCTTTGGAGCTACCCATGTCCCGGAAATTGGCGGCGATATCCCTGTATCTTTGTCGTCTATGGATGGGAGTCAAGATCGATCCTCCGAGTCCATTGCACAAGTGAGGGCTGCGCAGACCCTGCTGGATCTTGGATCATTTGGTCACGGAACTGGAACTTCTAGTACTTTCGGTGGTGAGGGAAGTCAGCCAGGTGGACGGAATGTGGATTCTGCACGTGGTCAGGTCTTGCAGCAGCAGGTCGATGCTTTGTCCACTGATTCTGATATGACCTTGTCTGTTGTTGGAGATCAGGAGTGGCCTCAGGATGAGAATGATATTCCTATTGGCGAGGACGGTCTGCCTATTGGATATATCATAACACGGCGCAACCCTGCGCGTGCTGCGAGGCCTTCTACGAAGATGGCGGAATAACTCTGTGGATTTGATTAAGCAGGCAAGAGCAAGAGAGTATCGTTGAGATCTGGGAGACGAATGTTAGCAAATGGTGAAAGGCAAGTGTGGAAGCATGGAAGATGAGGGCAAGAAGTATGAAAGATGAGAAAGAAAGAGAAGCAAAAAAAAAAAAAAAAAACAAAAACACAACGGATTGGGCGAGCTTTGGGAAAATCAATTTGCACTTAGGTAGATCAACCAATAAAACTTCATTTAAGTTTCCAAATATATTTTTACAATGAGCAACAATGCTAGATAGTTATACAATGAGACTCAAGAATCGCTCGAGTCAACAGATGAATGGAGATGGTATCAATGACCAGGACGATTGGTAAATATAATCAACCCCGGTCGACATGTTCATACAGTGGAGAGGCAAGGTTATTAGACTCTCTTCACAGCAGAGGCAGCCGTGCTAGAGAGCTGCTGTGACCGAGCTTTCGCAGCCATCTGCAACAGCTTGGCTGTGCGCGATGGATGCCAAACTCGGCTTCCCAAGACGATGACCCAGGTCAGGAGGAACAAGCTGCCAGCCTGGTGGGCGGAGGCAAGCGGGGTGGGAACAAGGTAGAGGAGAGTAGTAATACCAAGTCCGACTTGGCAGCAAGCGAAGGCAAAGACGCCGTGGACGCCCTTTCTAGCGGGTGCCGGCAGGAAGCGCTTCATGGTCGGCGCGCGGCGCGTGTAAGCCATCAAGGCGCAAATGGCGGTGAAGGTGGTCATTGCGAGGACGCGGTGGTCAAGCTGAACAAGAGAAGGATTCTCGAGCATGTTGCGCCACCAAAGATCGGAGCGGTCCTCGTGACGGGAGTAGCGGGAATCGAACAGCTCCTCCTTGGGAGGTGCTAGTCCTTTACCCATCCATGGGAATTCGTTGTAGATAAGTCCAGCATCAAGACCAGCAACCAGACCGCCGGAAATGACAGTTGTGAAGACCAAGAGGGCGATACCGGCGACGGAGCGGCGGAAGAAGGCCAGCTTCGGGTCGCGCAGCGCATTCAGCTCATTGATTCCAGCAGCGGCATCAGCCATCAACCGCTGGGACCGCAAAATAGCAAGACCGTTCCACAACATCGCGACGTAGCAAGCGAAAGCAGCACCCAAGTGAGCAGTCAGACGGTATTGGCTCACTCGCGGGTGACTGCCAGGAGCAAAGAGATCATCCTTCAAGCCAGACTTGACCATCCACCAGCCAAGGAATCCCTGGAAACCAATAAGACCAGCGATTCCAAAGAGACGCCACGCCATGGGCGTGGACACCTTCTTCCGGGCGACGAAGTAGACAGCAGGCAGCACAAACGAGATTCCGACAAACCGGCCCCAGAGCCGGTGAATCCATTCCATATAGTAGATCGACTTGAACTCGGATAGGGTCATGTTCGGGTTAAGCAATTGAAATTCGGGAGAGGCGCGGTACTTTGAGAACTCATCCTCCCAATGTTCCGCGTTCATTGGAGGGAGGGAGCCGGTAACAGGTCGCCATTCGGTGATACTCAATCTGTGCCAAAAATTTGTCCGGTTAGCGTTGGAAGCTCACTTTTCTTGAAAAAAAATCATTCCAGCCCACATACCCTGATTCTGTCAACCGAGTCAAACCACCGAAGACCACAATTCCAAAAACACTGGCCGCACTGCCTAGAAGCCAGTAGGCAACGGTCTTGTCGCTAATTTTGGGGAAGCTCGATTTGCCTTTCGCGGCGCCCTCTCCGACTGCCCCGGCAACGGCCGGTGCCACATTTGAGCGCTTGAGACTAGAGGTGAAGAATTCACGGTTCTGTTTGTTGAGAAGGGTCGATTTGGTGGGTTGACGGAACTGGAGGGCTCCGAATTGGCGGATTGATTTGGCTGCATAGCCCTGACTTGGGAGGCATTGGGATGTGAAAAAGTCCTTGGCCAGGCGAGGCGCAACACTCCGCCATAGCGACAGAGAGCTCCTCAGAGAAGCCATGGTTAAGGCAGATGAGTGAGTGAAGAAGGTTGTTGAAATTCGGGGATTGTACGATGCCGCGGAATGCCTTGGCCAATCAGCAGTGGAGCATTTGTCGAAGTGGAATAGCACTGTCAATAGTGCAAAACAGCTGATTTTGTGGAATTGAATTGATAACTGAGAGAATACTAATATTTACACTGTTCGAATCTAAATTGACCTTGATCATCCATGTACAGGCCTAATATCAGTGTTGATGCCTCAGGCGGCTACGCGGGCGTTGTGATCGCCGCAGCTCCAGCCGTCAGCATTGTATTGATCCGCATCACTTAACTCCCTTCCCAGCACAACACCAACATGTCCTACGCTCTAGAATCTAAGAAGCGAAAGTTTCATCGCGTTCTCGAATCAATCTCCAAACCTCTTACCTCCGATAGCGCGCCCAAAACAGCCCCTGCGGCGCCGACGACGGTGCAAGACCGTATCTCCGCCAATTTATCGATCAAGAAAGTACGCTTGGCCAGTGCCGACCCTTCAGAGCTCACAGCGGTGCGCAACTCAATCCAGAAGATCTCCCGACCAGCGCACCGGATTGCATCCGCAAATAAGCGCCCAACCTTTGTCCCTTGGGACCGTGAACGTTTTCTCGAGCGGTTAGAGACCTTCCGCCGTGTCGACAGATGGACGTCAAAGCCGTCTCCGATCAATGAAGTACAATGGGCCAAGCGTGGTTGGATATGTACAGATGTTATGCGCGTCACCTGCGTGAGTGATTGCGGTGGCGCTGTCGTTGTGAAGCTTCCTGATGAGATCGATGAGCTTGACGGTTTCAACACTGAGAAGGTGGAGGAGCGCAAGGAAGTTCGTGAGTGTCCCGTCATATCGCTGGCCTAGCTAAGCGATATAATGTGCTCACCTATATATCTATAGGTGCGAGGCTGGTGGATGAGTATGCAAAAATGCTCAGTAGTGCTCATGGCGAAAGCTGTCCCTGGCGAAACAAGAGCTGTGATGGTGAGTCTGAATGGGACACTGAGCACTTTCGGTACTATGACTAACATCGTATTAGCAACTATCCAACATCTTCCTTTGACAAATTGTGATACTGCCCTATCGGGACTTCACAAGCGATATACAAATATCTCGCAAATGGGCGATAAATTACCAGCCGATGATATCGTTCATACCCCAGAAGGCCTTGACCTTGATGCCTCTATCAAAGGACTTCCGGAAGAATGGTTCAAAGAAGCCGAGAAACCTACAGGATCCAGCACTGAAGAGACCCAGCCTACCATCGTTGATAACCAAGACTCGACAGAGACACATACACCTGTTAATCGAGCTGCACTGGCACTAGCATTTCTCGGCTGGGATACTGCCTCTGATGGAGCTGCGGGGCTAGTTGGATGCGGTGCGTGTTTCCGTCGCCTAGGGTTGTGGATGTACAAACCCAAAGATAATGGAGACGTGACCGTCTACACTTCCCTCGACGTGGCCGATGAACACATGGAGTATTGTCCCTGGATCGACAAAGTAGCCCAGAGTGGCACTGGACGGCCGAACGAGAAGCTGGCGGAACTTCGCGCTGGGTGGCAGATTGTCGCGGAGGCTGTAAAGGTCAAACACCGCCGCAGACTGCGCACTATGGGTTCCACAGATACATTGCGGACAGATCCAGGCGTACCAACTGAGACTCCAGGCGATGAAGAAAACACAGAGGCGAAAAAGAAAGCAGACCGTGAGTGGTGGGCGAAGATTCGACGAGTGAGACAGGTTTTGACGGCTAAGTCGCCAAAGCGGAAGGCTGTTCTTCCTCAATGACCATCATTCTGTCTTCTTTTCTGTTCAATATACATTAATTGGGAGCGTGGGTTTTATTCATGGGGTCAAAGTGCATCTTCCAGCGGCTTGTGTTTTCCAATTAGCTTCGATCTATGGCATTGTGAGACGCGATACTTCGCAATGGTGAAAAAAAAAAAAATTATCTCAAATTCATACCTATACACCTTAATCTCAGAGTTCATCGAAGATTGTAAACAGCTTGAGATGAATGGCGCCGGGGAGTTAGGGTTGGTTTGGAACACTCTGATTGGCCAAGATCCGGAGCTCATTGACCTTCTTCGGACCCCGGCCATTGCTCTGATATAACTCTGACTTCCACAACTTCGGCAATGTTTCTGTGAAATCAATTTTTGCAAGATTATCCAAGTTTCGATATTCACCTTTCTTTCCTCCCTAGACTCCCGCGACCGTTATCCTCCCGGATCACTTTCTTTGAACAGTTCACAACTTTACCCACGTCGCCATGGATCATCCTAATGGAGATGGAGCCCGTGATGGAGCTCCTGGGCGCTCAACCCCCCGTTCACCTGCCCGCTCGAATACTACATACCCTTCCAATGCGGGCCGACACAGAAGCATAGAACAAGATGGTTCAGCAGACGGATCGAACAATTTATCAACCGCGGCATCCAAGCGCAAAAGACTCCAGGAAAGGCACCAAGCCCTCCGCAAACGGGGCCGAACTCCACCGTCAGTATTCTCGCGACGAAATCGCTCCCGCAGCCCAGGCGGCGCTCCGCCACGCGAAGACCGACGCTCTCGATCGCCACTACAGCCTCGCCGCTCCCCTTCCCCCGATGCACCCCGTCAACGCAAGAGACCGGGCGGCGGAGCCCGACAGGGACTCCTAGACCGTGAAACATTACGACGCAAACAGGAGGAGCGTGAGCGTGCAGAGCAGGAGGAGGCTATGCGTAATTCTCAGCAGCGCGGCGTCGCGGACGTGGTCCGACAACACTACAACGCGGTTCCCGAGAGAGGCCGTGAGTGGCGGAAGACAGAGAGCAAAATCAAGGGTCTACGAAGCTTCAACAACTGGGTGAAGAGTACTCTGATTCAGAAGTTCTCTCCAGATGAGAATTTCGTTGCGCGATTTGACGATACCAAGGACTGGGCGGACGACAGCCAAGGGCCGCCGCCCGCTGCCGATCAAAAGCTCCTCGTACTGGATCTGGGTTGTGGTAAGGGTGGCGATCTGGGTAAGTGGCAACTGGCGCCTCAGCCGGTTGACCTCTATGTCGGTCTTGACCCTGCCAATATCTCCATTGAGCAGGCGCGTGGCCGGTACAATGAGATGCGCACGGGCCGCGGTCAGCGAGGCCGTAGACCACCCCAGCCGATTTTCCATGCCGAGTTCTACCCGAAAGACTGTTTCGGCGAGTGGCTGGGCGATATTGACATCGTCCAGCGGGTTGGTATCGATGCCAATGCCGGCCCCGGTGGATCTATCATGGCCTCTCGCTACGGTGGTGGCGGCTTCGACATCGTCACTTGCATGTTTGCCATCCACTATGCCTTTGAGACTGAGGAGAAGACACGCCAAATGCTCAGCAATGTCGCGGGTTGCTTGAAGAAAGGCGGTCGTTTCCTTGGCGTTTGCCCCAACTCAGATGTCATTACCAGCCGGGTGTCCGCCTTCCATAAGCAGCGCAAGGAGCGCGAGGCCGCCAAACCTGCTGAACCGGAAGGCCCCGAGGACGGTGAAGTCGAGGAGGATGAACGGGCCCAGTGGGGTAACGATATCTACCGCGTCCAGTTCCCTGGCGCAACCCCCGAGGATGGAATCTTCCGTCCGCCTTTTGGTTGGAAGTATAGCTACTTCATGAAGGAGGCAGTGGAAGAAGTTCCTGAATACGTCGTTCCATGGGAGGCTTTCCGAGCGTGAGTGTCGGCCATCATCACGTTTTACCATACATAGCTAACCTTTCACCTAGCCTAACCGAAGATTACAACCTGGAGCTGCAATACCGCAAGCCATTTTTGGATATCTGGGAGGATGAGAAGAACCACCCCGAGCTGGGCCCGCTCAGTGAGCGGATGGGCGTCAGAGACCGCGTGACCGGTGCTTTGAATATGACGGAGGAAGAGAAGGAAGCTGCTAGTAAGTAAACCCCGGATTTGCATTGCTCTTTTCAACTGCTAACAGATGACATCGCTAGGCTTCTACCATGCATACTGCTTCTACAAGGTATAGGCTATCATGTATACTTCGAGTATTGCATTGACCCTATGTGTATTCTCTTCCCCGCTCGGCATTTGTACTTACAATTCCAAAGAATCATAAGAATTATAGGTCTCGAAGCAACCAGAGTTTGCAACAAGACTTATATCATAAAAAACCTCCATTTATGATTACAGTCCTCAACTGTCCACGGGCATATATACTTCCAATCAAAACTCCAGTTCTTAAGTTTCGAGTCTACAGGTTATTCTTTTTACTACCTTTGTATACATCTACCTAGACACTGTTCCGTTAATTGACACTGTTAAGCTTTATAGTGTGAATAATTCCAAGCCACAGTAACAGGAGTCCGGCTAGCGCAATGATAGCGCGTAAAACTTCTATAAATTCCGCCCCCTTCGCGCGGTGGAAGGGGGCCAGATAGGCTACATACTTTGGCAAGTTATATTGCAATGAGAAGAAGATTTCGGCTAATCTACTGATATACATGTTCAGATAACTGATATGGCGTCAAGATCGAAGGAACAATATATATATGACTATAGGGGGAGATATTTGCCCACATATTTATATTCCTTATATAGATGGATGGAATATGTAAAAGGTCCTACTAATTTATGTAGATGATTATAAAAAATCAGCTATTTGAAAACCACCATCAATGGTGCTTAGTGAACTTGTCGGTTTAGTATGAACTGTTCGGCTTAATAGGGACTACGCGCAAGGCTAGCTTATATGGAGAGACGTAGCGATATGCCAAGGCTGAGGTCCAAGCTCAGGGTCTATCTTGTAGGGATCCTACGGGGTATGCGTTGTCCATTTGCGGGTTTTGGGGGTAGATTGTGGGGTGTGATCGAGTCGTGAGCGGGTGATCACTGGGGTCTCTTGGCGGGGTATATACCGTTAGAGGAACTGCATTAGGTTGCTACGATATAATATTTTGTAAAGTAGATCTGTGCTCAAATCAGATGTGTATATGGACGCCAAGCCACTCGTATTTTTGATATGGTGTTGGATGGGTGATGATTGTTGCAACTCATCTGACGTCCGATTGGGACGGGTTTCAGGGCAAATACGAGATTATGTAGATTTTATCAAATTACATTGAACAGAACCTTGCTGGTAAATCGGTATCGATGGTTAAGGCGTTCTATTCGTAACCTCTTCATTCTAAGTAGACTGCTGAGTATGTATATGACTGAGGTAGGGTTTCATCCATCACTAATTACATCACACAGCCCCCACGCATGAGTTACTATCAAGGTAACTCCGGCGCTATTGCGGCAACATCATTATGCCGGATTTAGTTGCTCGAGTATCACGAAATAGCATCGGCCGTACTTCAATCTTCCCCGACGAACTACATTGTAACTTGAATGGGTTTGTGGCACGAAGAGATGTTTCAAATATGTTGCCTTGAGTTCCCCCAAGGAGTGATTCAATAGCATCTGAACTTCGCGTAATTGAAGGAATATTAACGGTGTAGGTGTAGGAGTCAGTAGGACAGCGTTGGAGAGCTCCAAGCGGCCCACCTGGGCACTCCATCCGATAAGGCTTATCGCTGATATATGTAACCCCAAATAGGACTAGCGCCATCGCGTCTCGCGTCGGGGTTTCGAGATGCGCTTTGTTACTAGACTTTCTTTGTCAACGGCTTGGAAGCCCTGTACTCGAATCAAAGCATAAAAACCCTGATAATCCAGATCCCACCAACTCACCTGCTACAAATTTTCCCCAACAATAATGTCAGCAACACCAAGCCGACGGCAGTCATCTCAGCCGCATCCACAATCAGCACAATCACGCCGACGAAACGCAACGCAAGCCTCAGTTTTGGATGTAACACCTCTACCAGAATATCAGACGCCCGAGGCTCCCCTCACAGCAGAAAGCCAGCGCCGAATCGCCGCTCTACTCGCATCACACCACCTCCGCACCCTCCGCACCCACCTCCAACATGCCGCCGAGAAACTCACACACTCAGGCGGTGAAGTAAATGAACGGCTTAGCGATGCCCGGGTTCGGTATGAAAAAGCAAAGGAGGTACGCCGGAGTGAAGGCGACGAGAATGTCGACGACGACGAGAGCAGTGAAGAGTACCAGCGGCTTGCTGAGGCAGAGGCTCGAGTTGATGCTATTACTGCGCGGATGGAGGAGAAGACACGACTGATTGTCGACTCAGAAGTAAAGCTCCAGGGGCTTACAGATGCGATTGGTCAAATTGAAAGGGAGGAGGGCGAGAATGTCGCTACTGCTTTGGGGGTCAGACAAACCCGTCAACAGCGGGCGAGACAGAGAGCCAATGCGGTCGATGAAGACGATGGGACTGAAGATCCTACCGACGGTGATTATGAAGATGAGCAGGAGAAAGAGATGCGGGAACGCAATGCAGCCAACCCGCCCAGTCGCAAGCTGGTGGACAAGTTGACAGAGGGCGTTCAGCAATGGGATGAGCTTTCTTTGACAGAGAGGTATGGGATTTGTCATTTTGGTGGCTGCTATACTTGAAAGTGCAGAAACTGACAACTACAATTCAGATATGCCAGCAATAACTCTTACATCGGCTTCTACCGAATGGTGCATGACGCCAAGTTCCCGGGCGACGATGTCCCGCCATTGCCTCACTCATCTACATGGTTTGAACACATGGAAGATACGACTACACGATCAGGAGTACAGACACGCACGCGCAACCAGAACCGTGCCGTCTCGCCCGGCTCGGACGATGACATTGCCATTGAGCGCGAGCGCATCTCCCTCAAATGTCCATTGACTCTCACGTCTTACCAGGATCCTGTGACGAGCACGAAATGTCCCCACAGCTTCGAGCGCGAGGCTATTATGGATATGATCAATCGCAGCCAGACGACTATTCCGCCTCCGGCTTCTCGTAGGGGACAGCGCCGCGTCCGCGTGGTCAAATGTCCTGTTTGTTCTACGCCGTTGACTGCGGATGATTTCAGACCAGATCCTGTTCTACTACGTCGTGTTCGACGTGCACAGGAGCTTCAGAAGCGCGAGGAAGAGGATGATCACCTTGAAGGGGATGGGAGAAAGCAGAAGGACCGAAGTACCGGTATTACCTTGGGTAGTGATGGGGAAAGTGATGATGATGCTATGGATGTTGATGCCCAGCCTACCTCACAGCGTGTCAAAATGGAGCCGCTCAGTCAGCCTGCTCCGGTTCAATCTGATGAGTCGGGCGATGATGCGGAGAGTCTAGATGCTGAGATTGAGGATGCGGAGAATGGGGATGGGGAGAGTGAAGAGGGAGAGGATGAAGAGGTGGAGACTGAACAACAGAATGAACCGGTGGATATTGAGCAACCCCACAGCGGAGAACCAAATGAAGTGGAGATGGATGACCCCGATAATGAAGCGGAGAATGAAGATGGTGAGATTGAACACGCGCAAATCGAAGAAGCGCAGAATGAAGAGCAAAATGAAGAGATGGAAACTAACAACTCTGACAATGAAGGGGGGAGCGAGGAAGTCCCCGACGAAACGCAGAATGAAGAGCAGAATGACGAGATTCACATTGAAGTGGAGAATGCAGATGTGGAAAGCGACGTTCAGAAAGTGGCTTCTCAAGATGTGCAACCCGATGTACAGGGTGAAGGTCAGGATAAAGATGACAGTGACAGCGGAGAGAGCACCAGTACAGACAGTGAAGACAGTGATATTGAACCCAAAGTCGAGAGTGGGTCTGAGGATAGCGTGGAGAGCGTGGAGAGCGAAAGTGATTGATCTGCATGATACCGTCCATTTCAAGCGTTTTTAAATGAAGTTCCCTTCCCTTAAGCCGAGAGAAAAATGAAACATATCAAAATGGGAAATTCCTATTGCTTTTAGAACCGTTTCTGTACCTAGATGTCAGATTAGATATCTTTCTAGATGCCTTGAATATCTTGGAAGTGTCACCTCATCCGAAAAGAGAAATCTGTAAAAACGTTAATCTCCTCGTGCCTCCCCCGCAGTCGAACCAACGGAATGGGCTGGGGGACCCGAACCAATGAACGTGGGGTATAACCGTTTTAAGCTTAGCGTTGGTTCTCTTCTCAGCTTATACGGGCCATTTTCTAGGTCTTCTCCTTTTTTTTTTTCTTTTTTTTTATAGACAACTGATGCGACTCTAATCCTAGATCTCCAACTCTATTAGCCGAAACTATCCAAAAGCCCCATAGTAACCTCGATGACCCTATAAATACTACATCTCTTATCCAGTTATCACGCGACAACCCCAGTTTACCCACAAAGAAACAGTACCATCAGGGTGTAACACTGCTATCAAAGCGCAGCCCCCCCCCCCCCCAAAATCACCTAAACTCCAAGTAGACAACTTTCCCGTCCAATTGTATTAACCACCAATATCTAACCTTTAATTTTTTTATCTTTTTTTTTCTAAGGCCAGCCACATAAGTGTAGCTCTAGCCCGTGACAGAATCCAATACTACCCTAGTAGACTATATTGATCTATCTCTAAATTGAAATTCGTACCTACCACTTTTTCTTGGCCTATACTTTTAACAGGGGTACCGTCGTACAAGCTATCTTTTTTATTTTTTGTTTAAAGATCTCCAAACCTCCTTTTTGATCTTCCTTCCCCACACACCTCTTACCATCCTCTACATCTTTTACCCATCTATTCTTCTGCTCCGCTCTCATTCATAATGGATGAACGGAAGACTCCCCCAGCATATTCTTCCGAACCCGTCGAGACATTGACCCGACCAGCAGGATGGATGTACAAGGATAAAAACATCGGCAAATTCTCCACGGGCTGGTATGCCTCTCCACGCATCCAGCTAGGCATGGTCGCCTTTGTTTGCTTCCTCTGCCCAGGCATGTTCAACGCCCTCAGTGGAATGGGCGGTGGTGGCAAGTCCGATCCCAGCTTGGCTGATAAAATGGTACGATTTGACCTCGGGAACTTTTGCTATCTCGTCTCCACTCTGTTTCACATCTGATACTCCGAAACTCTGATCACATTACTCCGTACATCCCTCTAACAGCACCAGAACATCGCTTTGAACAGTACTTTCGCCGTGGTGGGTTTCTTCGCTGGAACTGTCGTCAACCGTATCGGCGTCCGTCTGTCCCTCTCCTTCGGCGGAGTCGGTTACTGCATTTACTCCATTAGTCTGCTCGTCTCCGAACATGCATATGTCCCCGGTTTCAACATTTTCGCCGGCGCCTTCCTCGGTGTGTGCGCTGGTCTGCTCTGGGCCGCGCAGGGAACCATCATGATGTCCTACCCAATCGAGCAACAGAAGGGTCGTTACTTCTCCTGGTTCTGGGGTATTTTCAACGTCGGCGCCTGTATTGGTAGCTTGGTATGACAACCCATCTTGGCTTGTCGCAATCAACTCTAACAATCACAGATCCCCCTGGGCCAAAATATCCATGTTAAGGAGAACAAGACCGTCGGCGATGGAACTTACATCGCATTCATCGTGCTCATGTTCGCAGGTGCCGTCCTCGCCCTCTTCCTCTGCGACGCAGACAAAGTCATCCGTCGCGACGGCTCCCGCGTCATCCTCATGAAGAACCCCTCGTGGAAATCAGAGATCGTCGGATTGTGGGATACCATCCGCGCCGAACCATGGATCATCCTCTTGTTCCCCATGTTCTGGTCCTCGAACTGGTTCTACACATACCAGCAGAACGCCATCAACGGAGCTTACTTCAACACCCGCACTAAGGCGCTCAACGGATTCCTGTACTGGTTTGCGCAGATCGTCGCCGCCGTCATCATGGGTCCCCTGCTTGATACCGAGCGCGTTCGTCGCTCCCTCCGTGCTAAGATCGCCCTCGTCGTCCTTTTCGTCCTAACCGTCGTCATCTGGGGTGGTGGTTATGCTTGGCAGGTGCGATATACCCGTGAGAGCGTGAATCCCAAGACCACCGGTTTCAAGGGCTGGGATTGGACTACCAAGGGCTACGAAGGTCCCATGTTCCTCTACTTCTTCTACGGCATGTACGATGCTGCTTGGCAGGGTCTTGTCTACTGGTATGATATCTTTTCTCCTTCCCCTATACTTAACTGACATTTTCTAGGATCATGGGCGCTCTCGGTAACTCCGGCCGTAAGCTCGCCAATTTGGCTGGTTTCTACAAGGGTCTGCAATCCGCCGGCGCGGCTGTTATGTGGTCGTTGGACGAGAGGAAGATCCCCTTCATGAACGAGTGGGCCTCGAACTTCGGTCTTCTGTGTGGCTCGATCCTCATCGCTGTTCCCGTTGTCTTCTTCAAGATCAAGGATACTGTTCCCGTCGAGGAGGAGCTCGAGGGTACCGGCGAGACGCTCGAGGATGTGCTGCCCCCCGGCGCCATTGAGTCCAAGCGTGTTGGAGATGATAAGATCTAATCCGAACTAATATGTGCATTGGAACGTGGATCTTTTGTTTTCTTTTCGTTTTTGCGACAGGCGTCTTGTTCTGTGGTGGATCTAGAAGTTCATGTCGATCTGACTTGAGCTTTAGGTCTTGATCGTGGTTCTTTTTAACGTCGTCTCATGATTCCCGACCATCTGGCTTGTACGTCAGTGGTATACTTTGGGTCTCTATTTTTATGAAAGTCGATTTTAATGGTGACTTGTTTCACTTTCATGATGACATGTGTCTCCTTTGTGTTTCTCTTCTATAGGGCTTGTCTTCTGATTTGCCGTGGAATGGGATTATTCACATATCAATGGAAAGACTTTACTGTGTCTACACATTTTTTCCTATTAGTAGATTTAATTCCTCCGAGTCGGTGTATAGGTTCACACACTGAAGTATATAAACTGTCCTACTATGAAGATAAAAGAGAAAGAAAGAAATAAGCAAGTAAGCTATCTATCCACTGAGGATTCTACCTACTTGCATATCAACCTCAAGACATCGCCGGGACATCAACGTAGAATATGGAGGCAAAGAACAGTAAGACAAGGGGGTATTCGGTCATCCAACGCAGCAAAACAAAATAGAAAAAAAAAGGTCTTGACAAAGACTACGTGTGTTCTGTTGTCGAGCTGGTTTTCCGCGGAGACCGCGTATCCTCCGACATTTCATTTTTTTCTTCCCCGGAATGAAAAAGAAACGGAAATGCTTCGCCGATACCATGCTTTCCGAATGTCCAGCAAATCAACCATGGGTAACTTGGGTGGTTTGTACGAGGTACACAACGGAGCATAAGTTGTTGGATTGGCTGTGTTCCTCCGGATTGTGCTTCCCGTTAAAAATAGCAGATTGTGTCTATTGATAGACTGGGGTAATATTCAGAGCAATGGGTCGATGTGATGCGAAGAGCAAAAAGAATGAAACCCGATCAGACTTTCAAATGTAAAGCAAGTTTACTTGGTGAGGAGATTGAGATAGTCAGCCACGATGAGGGTGACCATCCTATAAATGGAGTCAGTGGGGAAAAGGTAAAATAAGAAGTGGGGGCAACTAACGCATGAGGAGCGATCCGAACGTAGTAAGTTCCGAAACCCCGATAGAAGCGCAACCAACCCTCTTCCTTGGCAACTTTGCGTGCACAATCAATCAAGCCCTTGTAAGGAACCAAGCCGGTCTTAGGATCCTTCTGTTGTTTCTGAAGACGGGTCTTGATGAAATCGAAAGGCAGAGACAAGAAACTAGCAAAGAATCCAGCAATACCAGAAGCAGCAAAGGTCTGATTCTGAGCGGAGAGAGAAGTATGCTGCTTAAGCTGTTGCTTAGCCTCAGAGAAGAAAGTCAACTGGCCCATGTTGAGAGCCATTGCACGGACAACCGTGGGCGAAGCACCAGCCCACAAGGCAGCGAGGCCCTCGGTGCGGGTGATACGAGCGAGAGCATCGAAGACGGAACGGTAGTTTGCGCGAGCCTCGGGGGCTTTAAGGCCGTCGGACTGCATGCGCACGAGGGCCAGATCGGCCGGGTTTCCAATCATCGCTGCGATTCCGCCGGCAGTTAGTCCTGCCGCGGCACGCTCGGCGAAGGTTACTTTTCGGCCTGCGGATTCGGCGCGGACATTGAGCTTCTTGATAAATGTTTCGAAGAATCCAAGACGTGCAGTGGTGTAAACAGCTTGACGGAGGATACCGGCGGACAGACCGGTGTAGAGATCGAGGACTTTGCCGGATGCGATGATATCGCGGGTTACGCCGAGGGCGGATGGGCGAGGACCGGTGCGGGCTCCTTCGCCTGCGAGCTGGAGACGCACTTTGACCATGTCGACGGGTTGAATCACAGCCGTTGCGGTCATGCCGGCCAGTCCACCGTTCAGGAAGGGGAGGGCGGCGCGGGTGTATGGGTGGTGAAGGAAGTCCGTGGGTTTCTCAATAGCGGACTTGGTTGCGGTTTGAGCAGAGACAGCAGCATCGCTGGCGCTGTCTTTGATAGTGGATGCCATGGTGAAGTATCAAGGTACTGGATGCAGGTCAATACAAATGTGTAGTAGAAAAGAACGGGAGAATGCACAAGGAAAAGGCTTTCGGAGGATTAACATCTCCTTGGTGGATTTAGAAGCCACGGGCACGGGGACTATGTTTGGGACCATGGGTACTTACCGATGACGTAGTTTCTTATGAAGAGGTGAGTAGGTCAATAGCACTTGAGGTCAACAGGTTGCAGAAAGTTGAAGAAAGAGAGAAAAGACACAAGAGAAGGAAAGTCACAAGACAAAGTAGGTGCGGGGTGTTTTATGTCGTGTAGAATCCAAGTACTCTGGTACAACGGGGCCTGAGACCTATATACTTCTCTCATCTTCATTCCGAACCGGAGATTATTCCCTTCAACCGATCAACCGAATAACTATCCGTTCCCCGCTTATGCTGTAGAATCCTGAATAGCGCAAGTCGCTAAAAGGCTTCTCCAGAAGTGTGTTGGGCCAATAATATCTACATTGTTTTCATCAATGCGCCAACGAGCACATGCACGCTACGGAGCTTGTCAAAAATGCGGGGAATAGCTCGATGATGTCAACTTTTTCCTTTGATTTTATATAAATACTCAAGTTAGAAGAGTATTTGAATCTCATATATGTAACTGTAACTATGTCTGGGTAATATGTCTTTTGTCTCATATTGTTTAACATTGTGTAATATAGAATTCTTAACTAAATAAATTATATATATATTAGTTCCACCTACATTCGGAATAGCCACGCTAACCCTTTTGGGAACGAGAACATTTCGGGATCCCGTTCATACCCGATGCATATACAACCCTCTCCGGGTATATCTCGGGGATCAGACACTGCAAGTGTTGCTATCCAATAACTGATTCAATAAAACCTCATATTACCTAGCACATGCCTTGAATATTCTCTCCAAACCCGCGGCTTACACGTATATCGGTGAGTTAATCCTTAGGGCCTTGCTCTCAAGTGTCTAGAACCCAATAAGACTAGTATATCGGCGGGATAAGCTTGATCGGCTATTCCACCTGACTAATTCTTTTCCCCTCGGGCCATGATCCGGGGATGTCAACACGGCAGTCCAATCGGCCGAGTACAATGACAACACCGACGCTATGGACGTGGGCCCCTTGCACCAGCCCCTAATCGCCGACCAATCCCATCCATCGAGATTGTAAAGGATCCCCCTTTCCAAGTGTGGAGCTGCGGCTCACGCTATTATTGTTGAGCTGGAAGAGCTAGTCTGTACACATTCCTCCGGTTTGGACTTGCTTCTGGCCATATCCGCCGATGACCGGCAATAATTTTGTCAGGTAAGCTTGTGGGGGTGGCTTCCCACCTTGCCTCTAGTGCTGCATCTGCTCTATAGTGTTAGTCCATTATCCCGATTACGGATATAAGTCGTCAACTTGCAACATCGTTGAGGAGGCCCAGGCAGGTCGGTAATGATCAACGGAGGACTGTTCTCCGGAAATATTCTATATTATTGTTCGGAATGGCACGGGGAAAGGGCGGGATCTTTTTCTTTGACGGACTTGGTGGGCGAATTGGCGGGGTTGGATGGTTAGCAACGTGATGTGACAAGGTCTGAGCAGTGAATGCCCAAGCAACATCAAGTATTGGATATCACCGTTCCGTAGTGTACGACCCGCTAAGACCTGTTTCAGTGGTTATATCCCTCAGAGTCCGAGACCCCAGTATGAATCAAGTCCTGGACTTCAACGTACACCGGAGACGAAATGCCCAACCAAACTGCCCATGCGCGCATAGCCACGGACCTCTTTCCCACGGACTCATTCAGCTTTCTGCATCATCCGACAAAGCAAATTACATTGATCGGAAACCATCGTCTACAACACCTACACTGTTACTACTTCAACCCAACCAGTCGTGAATGTCTAAGTTAATGTTCTTCAAATTAGCTCCCGCGGAATCCACTCCCTAGCTCGACCCCGAAGAGTTCCCACGGGGAATGTGTCAACTAAACTCAAAGCGCATCTCACTACCCTCCGCGGGAAGAATTCTCGGCAAGTCGGGAATTCCACCGGGATCAAGCCTCGATTTGGACCCACGGGCTTACCGGCATGCAAGTTCGGGAAGGTTTCTTATGTATGGACTTCCTGGACAGGGGATATGGCATCGAGGAGCCGGGGACGGGATGTAAGAGCGGGAGTGAGGCATTTTTTATTCAAGTTCCAGGTACCTTTCTTTGACCTCTGCTTCTGAGCTCTGACCTTATGGCATCTTTGACCGAGTCCTCTTATTTGCGTCTCTCAGGTGTCCTTGGTTACTTGATTAATTGGAGCGCGAAGACTATATACGAAGTAGGTTCATTAACGTGAAACTGACATATATTCTATAGTGCATATGGATGTTTGTCCTAAATATCGCCATTGTCTCGTTATTGATAAAGTATCCGGTTCTTCTCACTTGACCCTCACTTCACCTCACTTCACTTCACTTCACTTTACCTCACCTCACTTCTCATTCAGCCTCACTTCTCATAGAATTCTCATAGAATTATCCTACTCGCCAACATCATCCACGGAAGCCTTCACACTACAATCGAACTGCGATAGATCTTTCTCGCCACCAGCTAGGAAGACCACCGCCGAGACATTGGTGATCATAGAGTGCAGACCTATTTATGTCAACTCTCCTCCTCACCCTCCCTATTCTTATTTGCACCAACGATCTTCCTTCCTCTATCTTCTTCTATTCTTCTATCTTCTAATCTTCTTCACCTGCCCTTCTATCCTTCTTGAAACACTGCGTGGGAGTCACTATGAGCTCGGTAGAAGAGCCAAAGTGCCACAGGTAACAAAGCCATTTCTTCATTTGCCTCGTCCAAGCGCTAATGACAACAAAGTACCTGCACAGAAAGCCCGATAAAGGTTGCCGTGGGGAGAGACAAGACCAGATACTAAGTCCACCTCGGCGTACTGGTCCAGGGAAAATCGGCACTAACCGCTAGAGTGACCGGGCAATGGAAAAATAATGCAGAAACACTGGACTAGTCCGACTTCGATCAAGACACAGTCAATTGCGTGTTGAAAATTTGCTATGGTCAGTATTACAAAGTCCCATGGCTATCCCCAAGCAAAGAAGAACAAGTGCTAGCAGAGGAGACCCAGCAAGAAGTAATTAGTAGACTGAGGGTCGAATTGTTGAAACTTCAGGGTGGTAGATGGTGAGTACTGAAGTTTCAACAATTCGACCCTCAGTCTACTAATTACTTCCCTAGATTCTAGGTCAAGCTCTTCTCAGCAGCCCCGCCGAGTCTCTATGGGAAATGCATTGATCATTCATGCAAAGGTTTACAGGTTTACGGATTTGCCGAGCCCTACCTTCTTGAAAATCTGGTGCACTATGTCCTTGCTCAACTTAAGGATTGTTTCATGGGTTTTCTTGCAGAATACGGAACTCAAACTGACCCGGCGATACTATGTCTAGCAGAAGCAATCTTGGTTATTTATAGCAGCACGCCGTCAACGGCTGCCATCCATCCTGCTCGTAGAGAGCTGTGTGACTTTGTTGCCACTCACCACTGGACAGCGGGAGGCCTCATTGGTCGCAAATCGATTGAATGATGCCATTTTGAAAGGCCAGCGCATTTCCCGCGATAACGTCTTCAAGGGGTATTTCCAGTCCTAGTGCACAGAGTCTTTTCCTGGGAGCTAATCCGTTACCGCTGCGCTCAGCTGCAATATCTCGAGTGGTTTTTCTTTTCCCTTTGAGTTATTCAAGTATTTTTAGTTCTTACATCTTGAATTAGAAGCAATTTTTGAATTATGTACTGCGTATAAACATCATATTTCCATGTGGTTCCATGGGTTCATTATTCAGTTGTTATACATGTTGTCACGGTCATCTTGGGATCATCCATGGATGGTTCCGTCAGCCCTCATATTATGTCTATATCTTCTCTTCATTCCACGTAAATTCTTCAATCCTCTCCCTTAAAGCTACCATATTCAACTAGGTGTTTTATTGTAATATTCATTATGGGCTCGGTGGACGGGAAGGCATTTGAAAGGTACTGGCATCATTCCATTCCACTCCCTTTATTCCTATGCTCACTAATAACGGAGAAGCATTTTCAAGGAAGGCCCAAGGAAGGCAATTGTTGGCAAAAGCAAAACTATCTTCTATGTCCAGCCCGGTGCTTTACTACAGGGAAATTCTGCATTAACTGCTAGGTTGACTGGGCCATGGAAGAATGCCGGACCAGAGACATTAGACTGGTCTACTTTTGACGAAGAGACCATTGATTGTGTCCTAAGATTTTGTTATGGTCAGCGGCGATATGATATCCCATGGCAATCAGCTATAGACAAAGGAGAATCAAAGCGAGAGCCAGGATTTACCGAGCTGGATGCTGATACCGGTAAGTTAAATGAATCTTCTATAGTTTGTGGGACTCTCCAGAGCTACCTAGGTAGAGCTCAAACTTTTGCTTACTCATTATTTTCTTCATATAGATGCCAAGACAAGCACCCCGTCTGACATCCGAAGCTTGACAGGGAATGCGATAGTGTTACATGCAAAGGTGTACTCATTTGGCCATCAATATCTCATGAAGGATCTACAAAACTTCGCTGTCACTCAGATGAAGGGCTGTTTTGAGCCTTGCCTTAAAGAATGCAGCTATTCTCCCAGATCAACGAGTCTCTGTCTAGCAGAAGCGGTTCAGATCATATATCAAAACACGCTCTCAATTAGTGAGATGGATCCTGCTCGGAAAGAGCTGTATGGGTTTATTGCCTCCTCCTATGAAAAATTAAGTCCCCATTTCGCTCAATTTCACGAAGGGACTGGGAGCTTTATGGTTGACCTCGCTTGCAACTTGTCAAGCCTACTTCGGGCATCCGAGAATGCCCCCAGAGTCGAATGTAAGCATCGCAATTGTTATCGCTACTAGCGAAAGGAGGAACAGGAAGAAGAAGGGTACCCTTGCGAAGTACCCTGCACCAACGAGCTTGACAAAGTCTAGAGATTGAATAGTCCAACAATAATGGTACTCCGACTTACCGATCGCAAAGATGCAGTTGACCTAGTGATAGGTCACTACTTGGCTGATTTGGTCGTCCTGGCCGAAAGAATGATTTTTCCTTTTCTTCCTTTGCCGTTCATTAAAAACTAGATTTATGAATCAGCTCGAATGTTTGTGATTTGATCTAAATGAGAAGTCAGTAGGGAGTATAAGAAGTAAAATGCAATATCCTTCTGTTCGATAGGTTAAATAGTTCCTTGTACTGGGCGTTCTCAGCTATTGTTCGCAAGGGTATGATTGGACAGAAACACGCAGGTCTGTGGAACGTCGAGTCTCGTAAAGAAGGCCAAGATCATTGGTATGTGGTTAACATCTCCGGACTCACCAACTGAATATGGGCAATAAGGTGTAGATTGTCTACTGTCTGCAAGACAATCCCTGTAAACGAGCACATGATATTTCCCCCGCTTTCATTTAAATAGACCCTTACAGACCTGAATTTGTATCTCACCGACAATTAATTTTATGCGCCATGCTTTCGCAAATTGGGAGCCTTTTTCAGTCGAGTCCAATCTTTGCCAGCCTTTCTATCGGGGCTCTCCTCACTCTCGTCATATATCGACACTGGTTTCATCCTCTCAGCCAATTTCCCGGGCCTCCATTAGCTAGTATCTCTGGCCTTTGGCAAGTATGGCAGGACATGATATGCAGCAACTTTCCACGATCGGTGACTGAGCTACATCGAAAATATAGTAGGTGATATTGACACAGGAAATGGAAACTATACTGACTTCCTTTCAAACTCCAACGTAATTCGCATCGGACCGAATCACCTCCATATAAACGACCTTGAATTTCACTACAAGTATGTTCCAAATGCAATACAAATAAATCATTCGATTTTAATTTAACTCCCACAGGATGCTAAAGGTCAATTCCGATTACCTCAAAGACCCAAAATTCTACGAACAGATGGGCGTTCCCGATGCAATGGGAACTATATGCGATCCCCATAAACATCGCATCTTGCGTCGCCGAGTGAACCCACTGTTTAGCCAACAGGCTGTCGATAAAATGGCTGGAGACATCCAAACGACAATCAATCATGCGTGCGATCTGATTACAGAATCCTTTGACGCTCAAAATTTCATCCGCGCAATCGCAGTATGCATATCTTACGCCCTGTGGTCTATATTTCCTAACAAACTTGCGATTTATCTAGGGAGATGTTGTCTCTACCCACTATTTCGGAGAGAACATGAGCCTAATCGACAGACCCGGGTACGCGCACAAACTATGGGATGGCATCGACACCCTAGTCGGCCAGATGTGGTATAGTATGTCCCCAGCCCATCCAAAGACCACACACATGCTGAATCTCCAAGTGATTCACATTCCATATCTCGCTACCATCCTAGCTGAGCTACCGAGTATTCTTCTCAAGATCTCACTCCCTGGATTAGCAGGTCTGATAGAGGTATAATCTACGTCTCCCCTTCGAAGTCACATTCACTGAACTGAAACAGGTGTGCATGCGCCATTCTGAAAAAGCCCTCGAACGAAATAAAACCAGATCTGCATCAGTTGAAACGGACAACGCCACCTTCTTCGATCTCCTAACAACACCATCCCCGGGACAACAGCCAGTCCATCTCAGCCAAGAGGATCTAGTGAACCACGGCCTAAACCTCGTCGGCGCAGGCGTAGACACAATATCACTCACCATGACAGTCGCGCTCTATCACATTCTCTCATCTCCGGAGATCAAAAATCAGGTGTGTCGCGAGACACGAGAAGCAACGCCTTTCATTCGAGACGAGCTTGATTCGCAACGAGTTCGAACACTGCCGTATCTAGTACGAACATAACACCCTAAGCGTCTTCGAATAGCCAAAGCTAACTATGCTCAGGGAGCCGTTATCAAAGAAACTCTACGCATGTACCCCCCGGTCCCGGGTCGAATGCCACGCATTGTCCCGCCACAGGGCGAATCGTATAATGGGAGTTTCATACCCGGTGGTGTAAGCCGACTCAACGGGTCTCTCTGTGGCTAGATCTAACATGCATAGACGATTGTATCGATATCCCCGTACACGATCCACCACGATGCTACATTATTCTCCGAGCCAAACATCTTCAAGCCCGAGCGGTGGCTAGGTGACAATACACTTGAGATGGAAAGGGCTCTTATACCATTCAGCACTGGCAGTCGCATGTGCCCTGGGATCCAGTGAGCAGGTCCATTTCGTTTTCGGGGCTGTTACTAACTCGTAAAAGTCTAGCGTATCTTGAGATCTACATGACCCTCGCGACGCTATTTAGTCGATTCGTACTTGAGCTTGAGAGTCCGCTACCGAGGCCGGAGTTGGAGTGGACGGATCAGTTTGTCATTGTATTTGATCATCCGGTCAAAGTAAGGGTGTTGGGTGATCTCTGGACAAGTGAGAAAGGTTCGGACCCTAGTTGTTAAGTAATGCTCTGATAAATGGATGGTGGTCGCATTGTCTTCAACAAAATGGGGCCAAGTGAGAGACCGGCCAATCTAGAATTGACCGTAGAAAACTACTCCGTACAGAGTGAGCACTGTAAAATAAACACGAGGTGATTTTGGTATTATTTACTGATCACGATAGCCAACAGGTGCTGATACCGTCGAGGGGACAGTGGACGTGACACAATGGAGACGGCTGCGACATGAGTTGACGGATACAGGGGTAACTACGAGACGCGATTCTAGGATGATTTACAAAGCTACATCTCTTCTCCAACCTCGAGCCACTGGCTCAAAACTTGATGAAAAGAAAAATATCCACGAATGGAGGGTGCCAAAGAATACGCCTGTCAATGACCCGAAGGCCATTGAACAGTCTGTTCCTCCGCGCTGTGCAATGCAGGGACCAGACTGTGGTGAACCGCCTTGATGATCGCAGTCACCCAAACAAGGTAAGTATGAAGAAGAAAGAAAAAGAAGAGGAAGAGATGAGGAGGCTGGGGGTATTTATACCAACAAAGGAGGTGAGGAAGGCGGTGAGGAAGATGGTGGCAGAATTGGATGGATTTCCAAAGGTCGCGACCTCTGATGTCATATCTGGTCCTTGAAGAAATCTCTAGAATGATTGATTGCTGCTAATCGATAGCGATGCTCATCTAATAATCACGTTTTGCGATTATATGCACCTCGTCGTTTACGAGGCTTTGATAACAGCGAATTGCCCGCAAGAGACCACGAAACAAGCCAATTACGCGATCTACATTAGGAAATTAGATGTTTGATTACGAAAAGAAGTTAGATATGTCTGAAATGTATGATTGCATTGACTATCGTATAAGAAATTGCTCGGTGAATATCACTAACTCCATCCAGCCAAATAGATGGCGGAATATAAAATAAAACCCAAATCGGGGGGAAATCAAAACATATCCATCGCTCGTCCCGATACAAGCGGCAGACGTCGGCGAGAGGATCTAAAGATCATCGCCAAAAAAAAAATATAAAACGCCATGCAAAGGACTCATTCATCCTGTTTGGAAGAACAAGAAAGGGGAAAACCCAATTTTTAACTGCTCCAACACTCTAAACCTGGGGGGCAGCGGCAAGGACCTCGGGGGTGGCCTCATCGGAGTACTTCTTGAAGTTCTCGTTGAAGAGGACAGCAAGCTTGGTGACCTCATCCTTGAAGGAGGTGGAGGCGGTCCAGCTCTTCTCGGGGTTAAGGAGCTCGCTGGGGACACCAGGGCAGGAGGTGGGGACGGGCAGGTTGAAGGTAGCGTAGGTCTCGTACTCGGCCTTGGCGAGCTCGCCATTGTGGATGGAGTCCAAGATGGCACGGGTGTACTTGAGAGGGCAACGCTTACCGCCAGTGGTGGCGCCAGCGCCAACCCAGCCGGTGTTCAGGAGCCAGGCGTTGACCTTGTGCTGCTTGATCTTCTCGGCCAACATGTGGGCGTAGCGCATGGGGTGAAGAGCCAGGAAGGGCTGAGCGAAGCAAGAAGAGAAGGTAGCCTGAGGCTCAGTGACACCGTCCTCAGTACCAGCCATCTTGGAGGTGTAACCGGAGATGAAGTGGAACATGGTCTGCTCGGGGGTGAGCTTGGAGATAGGGGGCAGGACACCGCGGGCATCACAGGTGAGCAGAATGATGTTGGTGGGGTGGTTATCGCTGACGCAGGGAATCTTGGCGTTCTCAATGTACTCAATGGGGTAGGCGCAACGAGTGTTCTCGGTAAGGGTGGCATCATCGTAGTCAACAACACGGGAGATGGGGTCGAAGACGGTGTTCTCGAGGACGGAGCCGAAGCGGATGGCGTTGAAAATATCGGGCTCCTTCTCGGCGGAGAGACCAATGCACTTGGCGTAGCAGCCACCCTCGATGTTGAAGACACCGGTGTCAGTCCAGCAGTGCTCGTCATCACCAATCAGCTTGCGCTTGGGGTCAGCGGACAAGGTGGTCTTGCCAGTACCGGACAGACCGAAGAAGACAGTGACATCACCGTTCTCACCCTGGTTGGCAGAAGAGTGAAGAGTGAGGACGTCGTGCTTGACGGGCATCTCGTAGTAGAGGACTGTGAAGACACCCTTCTTCATCTCACCAGCGTACTCGGTACCAAGGATAACCATCTCCTTGTCGGCGAAGTTAATAGCCACGGAGGTGGCGGAGGTCATACCCTCAGTGAAGCGGTTGGCGGGGAAAGAGCCGGCGTTGTAGATGACATAGTCGGGGTGGAAGTGGTCGAGCTCCTCGCGGGTAGGGCGGATCAGCATGTTGCGCATGAAAAGAGCGTGGTAGGCGCGAGCGCAGACAACGCGAACGCTGATACGGTAGCGCTCATCCCAGCCGGCGTAACCATCAACGACATAGATGCGGTTACGGGTGTTAAGGTAGTCGACAGCACGCTCACGGTTGATACGCCAGACCTGTGGAGAATGTATTAGTCACCAGCCTTATATGATTGACGTCATGCACGTGATAGCCTCGGATCAAGGGCGGGGATGCGGAGCAATATCTGAAAGCCGAGGGGCAAATTGGAGCCAAAAAAGGGTAAAAAGATGGGGGAAAGGAAATATTCCCTCAATGAAGCGGAAAGAGGTAAACTTCGGCAGAGACGGCATCCCTAAAGTTGCACGAAGTCCTGCCACAAAGCTTGACCTCCTCCTGATGCATATGCAAGGGATACAAGTGGATCTCATCGGTCCCATCTGCAAGGATGTGCTCCAACGACAATGCAAATATCAAGTAAAAATCGCGCAAGAATATGCGCAAGAATATAGAAAAAAAATTGTACTCACATCAAGTGTCATGGGCTTGTTTACGGGTCCCCACCAGATATCGCCTTCTGAGGAAGCCTCCTGGACGATACGCTTATCGGAGGGGGAACGGCCAGTCTTAGCACCAGAGTATGCGCTCAAAGCACCGCTGGAGGTGACAGCAGTACCAGTCTCGTAGACAAGAGCATCTTCGTAAAGTGCAGGAACAGAGGGGTTGGCAATCTAAACCATGTTAGTTCATGAAGATATGAAGATGGTATAGACATTGCGATCAAATGTCAAGCATAAGGGTGAAGTCTTACAATAGAAACTCGGTCGTAGTCAATGTGAGCAGTCTCGTGAAGTTCCTCCTCAAGCTCGGTGTGACCCTTGCTAGGCCTAAGTAAAGATAGTTAGCGACGATGAGGTAAGGACGATGAGGTAGGAAGGCAACATACTGAACACCACCAGGGTGCAAGGCAGTGCGATTTACTGATGTGGCAACCATTTTTCTGAGTGAAGTAGAGTGATAGTTATTGTTGCGTTGTTTCGCGATCTGCTGTTGAGTGAAATCTGATGCCAGAGGACCAGGAGAATCGGAGCGGTCGAGGGGTATATAATCCTTTTGGGCAGAGGCCATGGTCGCGATCGGTCTTGGTATGAAGGAGGTTCTCGTGCACTTTCCGTAGTGTTTCTCCACAGTTCCACGGGTAATGTCGGGGCTGAAACGCCGAGCTGAAGCGGACACGCGGTTGGTGATGGGATGAAGTCCGTAGGTCGCAAATGCCTCGAGGCGCAGTCCGACTTGACCCGAATGGTTCAAGTGGACACGAAGTTGATTCGGAACTAAGGGACTCTATGACCGGGAAGGCGAAGAGCGGCAAATAAATGGGCGTTCTAGAATCAAAAATAACTCATTGATATTTTGAGTAGTTTACAAGGATAAGTTGATGTGTCTACTGCATGAATTCTTTTATGCTGCTTTGACGGTTGCGGTAAATTCCCCTACCTAGGTTCAATTTTACAATTTCGTCAATCATTTTTAGTTGATATTATGAAAAACCTGTGTATTTCTCTTGGAAATTTAGTAAATCTTCAGCCACGGATGACAGAAATGACGCACAATGACTTCACTAACTTGATACTAAAAATTTCATAGTTCCTAAAATCGCGGGGAGCTGACATAATCTTGTCGATCAAATGTAATTTTGACCCTTGACAATTCTCTTCTCTCTCTCTGTTTTCGGCTTTAATCAACCCGAAGATCGGAATGTACTGCCCGAGGGACAAAAAAGAATGAAAATCTCCCTAACCCCGGAGAATGACAAGTTCGGCTGCAAAAAATCGGAATTGTCTGGGAGCAAAAATTCAGCAGCAAATAACGGCGTTTAACCAGCCGAGGATGATGGCACCTGCATCCATCGATCGCGGCGGTGGCGACCAATCAGAATCCGTATAATTCCACCTCCTAGGATGGTCGGGTGGGCAGAAGATATTGCCGCTGGGTCCTAGACATCATTTTTCACTGGTTTTCACTGGCCGGAAGATAATTTACTTGGTTATGCAATAATATCAACATGTCTCCCGACCGGTACCTGGGTATCCATACTCCAAATCCAAGCCCTAATGGAAACAAAAGAACCCATATTACGTCCCAACGCCGAAAAATCATGGTCTGGAACCTATACTTTTCAAGAATGACTCAAAAATAACATCGCACATGAGCGGTCTGCCGTGATTCTAAGTGTTTTTATCGGCCGCCATCGCCGCCGCCGCTCGGGCTGTGTAATACTACAGATGTGGCTTGTGCAATAACCCCAGATCCTTCTCCCCGTGGTTAGCGGCGGATCCCGAACCGGCTACGGCCTCGGGAACTTGACCTTTTTCCTTTTTTTTTCCTTGCATTCTTCGTGAAACAATTAGTTATTTTTGCGCGATTTGTTTCATCTTACGTAGTGACTTCGCTTTTTAATCCCTGCTGATCATTTTCATTTTTCCTGCCTTGCGTGTGACACAAATACCTGATGGCTAGAACTATGGACTATTTTGAGGCTTTTTCTTTTTCACACCCTGAAGGGGTAAGGGCTAGTGGAGAAAGGGGTTTCCCCTTGTTCCTCCTCCACAAAACATAGAAGTATCGTCATAGTAGCCAAGCATGTGATATTGAATCTATTCACGCATTCCGGGAATGTCGCTATGACCCTTTTCATCCCATTTTCTAGTTTATGTCCGTTATCCGGATCAATTTTTATCAATATAACTAGTAGATTCTCGGTATTTGATATCAACCATAGCCAATCATTTCTGAAACTTAGCTTCCTAATTTACCCGTTGTGATATCGCTCTTGTTTTTCATTCGAGTCTACTTATCTAAAATATCTGCCCAACCAGTGCCGGTGGTTTCAAAATGGCCTGGACCGATTTAAAGAAAAACGAAGATCAACTCATCTCCTATTTTCCCCGAGACTCACACTAGCGCTCGGCTGCACGTCATTGTTGATATTATTACTTCATCGGAGTACAGGGAAACAACAATATAAGACAAAAACTACGCAATTATACTGCTCAGCTTCGTTCCTGATCCCATGACTCGTGGCATTTCGCAGTAGTTGCTCCGATCTTTATACATTTCGGTCGAGACGCACCTCTTGGCGTCTTGGCTTTTATCTGGGGAAATTGTCGCGTGGTCTCCCTTGAACTGCGGATGCGGGGTATAGCGTGGGCTTGAAGTCTTTAATGAGCTACCAGTAAAAACCCACAGATTATTACATCGTGGCTCGGGCCATGTTTATCAAATGATATATTGGTCTCGATTGCAATTTGGCCTTGACTATTATGCCACGTCCTAGTGCGCAAAGTATAGTCGCCCAAGGATGTCGTATTTTCCGGGTTGCCTGGCAGCTGAATATGTCGGCAATGACGAATTAGGAAGGTAACGAAATGAGCTATCAAATTCTATAACGGGGCAGGATCTTCCCACAGTTCAAGTCAAGTGAAAGAATATTGAATAAGTTGGGTTGAACCAAACACGATAGTTCAACCATCCGCTACAATATATACTATGTGTCCTAAGCCATTTTCAAAGGGGCTGTCCACCGTACAATACTTTTTCAAATTGACATTCATTTCACTAACTAACTCAATATTCTCATCAAACGTCTCGTTTCTCTGCTATATCTCAAGCTTTTTCTCCTGGTCATATGTTGCGAACAAACCTGTCGGTGCTCTCGCTCGGTCTGGAGATAGTACTCGTTTGTTGGTCGTTGGTGTCCCATGGACTGCGAGATGATGGGCATCATTCTTCTTTATTCTTTATGGTATAGCTGTGCCATTTGCGACACTAATATGTTTCCAGATTAGTTCAGCTGTACTATCCATCTCTGTAAAAAAAAACCTTTTCAGTTTCCTTTCATTTTCCTCTTCCGTCGAACTGTTCTTTTTCGCTCAGTATTTAGCTTTGATTTGGGCCTTTACTTCTGGGTTTTGGCTGTATCTTCGAGCCGTCTCCCTGTACTTGGCCTTTTCTATGTATAACACTATTTCTCTCTTCCACATCCCGAGTCCATCTGGTGTTTCCATGGACACGTTCCTCTCCGAGATGCCTCCTCACGATCTATCCCTAGTATGGAATCGATGTCCATAATCTTGGTGTCCAAGAATCTGTCCATCGTCGAAAAGACCGCCATAGTTCTCGAAGAGCCTATAATTTCCGCAGGCTTATGTTGCCCCTTGCGTGTCGTCGCGTCCATTATACATCCTTTGGGCCCGAGACTCCTGCATATATGCAAATATAAAGATAATTCTATCGAATGGCGGGCTATAATGGCTGACTTGCGTTTTCTTCCACTCTAGACACAAAGTCCATTAGCGATTTCCCATAGTGCCTCTTAGCATCAGAATGATGAGGACTCACGGTCGCAAAGAATGCCTCCAGGTAGTCTGTTCCAGCTATGACAGCCGTGATCCAGCGTCAAGGGGTCAACTCCGGATTGTGGCCTACCAGGCTCGATCTGAACAACTGATATACTTCTTTCGTGGCCTATAATAATTTCTCAGGTCAGCCGTTATTCTCAATCATGCCTCAGTGTTTTGCTTGTAGAACGTTTCAGCTTACATCGAAGATACAGCAGGCCACTATATATACTGAAGATTAGCAGTGTGAGCCTTGATACGAATGATAGAGTAGAAGGTTAGGGAACATACATCCAGTCTTTCTGCTGCCTCCATCACAGGCTAAGTTGGTAGCCTCCGCAGCAATCGCGAGACTTCTCGAGGCGGCCACATGGCTTGTCTCTGGCATACTAGTCGTTGCTGATGAAATTTCGGCTAGTCTTCTATTCACCTCTGTTAGCTAAAAGAAAACGGGACAATTAAAAGACAGTGTGCGTACAATATAGTCTTTATACCAATCAATATCAAGGTGAAGACATCGGGGCTCCTTTTGGTTTTGATTATCAGCCGATGTATTCATTTCTGCTAGGCCGTGGATCCTCCAGCATAGTCATTTGAAATCCATGGACCTAGATTGTAAACATGGTAAGTTGGGTACAGATGACACCTCTAAGGCCTAACTTACCTTTGTATAAGATGTGGAGGAGATAAAAGACAGTAAGGATGAGGAGAACTGGAAAAGGGAAAGGTAAGTGAGGGATGGCTCTACTTATAGACCTGAGGGGCCTGAGGAACAAAGAATCTCTTCAAGAAGCAAACATCGCTGCATATGCGGGATGTCCCTGCTCCTAGAGTGACAAATAGCTACGAAAGCACAAGACAAGGAAACAGCAAAGAATGAATAGTTGGAACAGCGAAAGGGAAAAGCTAATATGATTGATGTCACGAATAGTTGATGTTGCTTACATTCAGTTTTCACTTATCATCCACTCCACAAACGCTAGTACTTAGAGATCTGTCACTGTTGTTTATGAACTTACCAATGCCAAACTGCAGTTTGCAGTATAATGATATCCCATTACATTGAGAAGACCATTGAAGATTTACCTGATATGCATAGCTTAGATCAGCCAGTGTTTACTGGTATTAGGTAGACAATTTCCAGTAGTATTTTACGGTGAAAGTAACCTGATTATGCTTCAATATTCCGAAACAACACAATACTTGAACCAGAAGAGATACAACACTCTAATACAAGATAACCTCATTACTAGCAGCACCAGCCTCAACCCACCCGCTGAGCAATTTCCGTGCAATTCCTGCAACAAGCTGGTGGTAGTTAGGTGGTGGAACAGCACCAGGAGGAGGTTTTCGGCTTGGGTCACCAGCGATCCAAACAACAGGATCTTGCGAGATGCTAGGGACACTCTCGCGTAATGCCTGGATATCCTCCAAGTCAAATCCACGGCCGAAGATGATTGCACGCACTGGCCGGCTGTAGTCTTTTGTGCCGACGTCGTTGACGTGGGGGGATTGAGGATCCCGGCCTGCGAGGAGATGGGGAATTTCGGATTGCGCTGCTGAGAAGCTTTGGATGAAATGGGTTACTAGTGGGTATTAGCGAGTTTGCTTTGGAATAATTTGGATCATATTGTAGCAAGGAGTAATATATGCTATACTAACCTTCAAATTCGGGGAGGAGGAGCTCGGAGACCGGCTTGCCGATGGCGGAGTCTAGGGCACAGACCACGATTGGGAGAGAGGAGGACATTATGAGGTGCAAAGAATGGGTAAAAGATATGTATTCCTTTTCTGAAGTGCTGGAACTTTTAACTGGGAATCCTATGAACTGAGCAGACATCTTCCTCTTTATCTAGAAGTTCGGAGTCCGACCTACTAGATGCGGCTCGGGGTGGAGACGACAGAGCCCCACGATGTTGATTTTGGGACTAGCGGCATATGGAGAGTAATTTGAGACTATTGGAATCATATGGAATGTAATCTAACTACTTACTCCGTAAGATGTTTGATATTCATAAAATCCAGGTTCACCATGGATTGTATTAATTTAAGCTTTTATACTTCGCAACTGCCGGTTCCTGCGCAGACTCCACAACATCGAACTGTCGTACATCACTATTGAGGCTATTAGCATTTTACTGCTGACATTCCACTTGATATCACTTAACCCGTACAGCCATCATCTCCGGTTGAGTTTAAAATCTGACAGCCCTGTTGGGATCAAGTCCAGTGACTAACAACTTACATCATCCATATAAACATCACACCTGGCACATGGGCATATCCTCACTTCTTCCGCTGCATAGTATTTCTACAGAACAAATTACGTTGCAATATAACATGGCATCCGCCTCACCCGCTGTATCCCGCTGCACCCTCAGCAACAAGGCCCATCGATACCGCAACCTCTCAGCACTTCTCTCCATCCTAGACCGATACTTCTCCTGGCCGCTTCCGCCAGGACCAAGCATCGAAATCGCCATTCCCTCAAAAGTCAGCAAAGCCCCAGGCTCAATCCAACTCTACTTCTTCACTGCACCTTCAAACCCCCTCTCACCACGCAAGCAAACCAAACCATCCCCACCCCGCCCCGTCCTAATCAACTTCCACGGCGGCGGCTTCACAATCGGCCACGCTCTCGACGACGCCCGCTGGGCCGGAGCCGTGTTAAAAGCCTATCCAGATGCGGTAGTCGTAAGCATCAATTACCGCCTAGCCCCTGAGCATCCCTTCCCCGTCGCGCTGGAGGACGGCGTGGACGCTATACTATGGCTATGGCAAGAAGCGCAGAAATACAACCTTGACAGAACGCGCTTTACAATCAGTGGATCCAGTGCAGGCGGGAACCTCGCTCTAGGAGTACCATTCCGGCTGCGCGAGGAACTACAGAAAAATCGCTGGGCGTCGAGCTGGGCGTCGATACGCGGGGAGCTAGCTTTGGCTGGATTGGTAGTATTCTACCCTAGCACCGACTGGACACGAACGCGGATAGAGCGTAATGCGACAAATCCTATCGCTGCGGAAAAATCCATGATCTCTCTTTCTTTGTTCAAGTTCTTTGATGATTCATACCTTCTCCCTGCCGGACTGCCGAAACGGCCTGGTACGGATAGGGTGGATATGTCTCATCCTTATCTTTCGCCTGGTTTGGCACCTGCATCTTTGCTGTATGAGGCTTATCCGCCTTCTGTGGCGATTTATACTTGTGGGTGGGATCAGTTGCTTGTTGAGGGGAATACGTTCCGGGAAAAGCTAGGTAGGTTCGTTGAGGAAGGGAAGATGGCGAGTGTAGGTGGGTATGTAGTTGAGGACATTGTTCATGGCTTTGATAAGAAGCCCTCTTTTTTCAAAGGGAATGAAGTGCGTGAGAAGATGTATGGGGATGCTGTTAACCAGTTGAAGGTGATATGGAAGGTGGATTGAGGTAACTTTACAGCCTAAAGGCACTCTCTGTAGATGGATTGGTATACTACTTGTACATATTCGAGTTCACGCTACAATTTTCACTTATGCTATATACTGCCTTATTTTATGAGCTCTCGAGGCCTAATGGTTATCAAAGGCTATACTTAGAACAGTCCATTTCACGAAGCCCTTTTCCGCCTTTCCTTTTTTGCTGTCGACAATAGCTGACAGGATATCTAAAAGGGATATTTGAAAAGACCTCCAAAAAGGCTACCGAAAAGACATCACAAGGCCGCTTATGCTGCCCACTACTCTTGCATCTATTAGTTTGGCTATCCCTCATACTCTATTATTTCTCACTCATAGCCTATGGATTTTAGAAACTTATATTAGGTCCGGGAGAAAGTATAGGGCATGTCACGGTTATAAGGGAGGACACTAAACATTGAAACGAGTCCTGTTCCTTCCAAGGTTGGTGTTACAACCTGCCCCTGGACTGGCGAGTTACACACTAGGCCAAAAAGACCACTATAACTGAGCATTATGTCTGAGCATTATGCTCAGATATTCCAGGCTCTGATATATATATAGTGCATGACGTGACAGTTGGCAAGTTTAGGTTAGAGTTTGATGCGAAGAGCAGCGGCCACTTCACCCCTTACCCTTTAGTTATCTCTTTCACTCTTTCTTCACTATTTTCTCACTTTGCCTTCACTCTACCTTCACTCTACCTTCACTTCTAGGCCAGTCGGATACGTTATTAGGAGATTTCACGAGATATAAGCCACATCCTCGTCTATTCTTGTCTATTCTCATCTCATACCTAACTAGATCTATATTTTATACCCCTCTGGCCGTTAACTTCCTGTTATATACTCTATCAGATCCCCATCTGGCTTCTGCTCCAGAGAGCCTATACTCCACTATTATGGCCTCCGCATCATCTTACATGTCCCTCCAGGGAGGCTATGCCCGTCGACAGGATAAGTCACCTTCGATGTTCATCTCCTCGACAGTGCCTATCGTGCATGAAAACACAATCATCCTCGCAGTTACTCAACCCACCCTCTCCACAGCTGGTCCACAAGAAGATGGTTGGCTTATATCGGACTTTTACGCCTTCAACTATCTGCTCAAAGGGCTCGGTATGAAGCAGACCTGGTTAACTGCCGTGGAGCCCTCGAAGCTCGTCCAGAAATACGGATCATACCTACATGGAAATCCGTATGAGTCCAGGATATGTCTAAGCCAAGAACTCATAGACAACAATGAGTTCTCGCCTGTAACGGTGGTTAACCCGGCAATAATGATCGATCAATTCCTAATAGAAGCGAAGGAAGCTTCAGAGGTGGCTAAGAGACATTCAGCACCCCTTCTTCTCCTTGTCTTCTGCCACACACTCCCCGGATTTGATTTTCTTTTAGGCAATGAGACCAAGCACAAGGGTCTAACTGCCACCGGGTTAAAAGGTGTGCTTGAGCCCGGAGTACATGTCAGCCTAGTTGCTACGGCATGTCACTCCGGTGGCTGGGTCACAATCCCAGATTTCAACCACACCACCATGGCAGCAGCTTACGTTACTTGTGAAAATGTGGGAAAGGCGAATGCCCGGGCCGATTTGGAGAGTATCGCCCGGACCTGCGGTTCTGCCTTCGCGAGCACGATCGTGGAGAGTCTGTCCAGCGCAGCAAGCCCACTCCTTTGCGCCAGCGAAAGGTCCGAGCCATCAAGTTCTCTTAAAACCATGCCCTCGATACAGCCTGAAGGCCTTGATCAATGCCAGGCGCTGGCATATAATGCGTTATGCGATTCGATCTCGCGAACATGTGAACAGCGTGTAACTCGACTTTGGAATGCCCAAGGTTTCAGTTCCAACGTGCAGGATGACCATTGGGATTCTTCCTGGACAGGACGAACCGGCGTGCCACTGAGTTATTTTGAACGGCGGTGGGAGGCGCTCACCCCTTACACCTACACCGGACCAGCGCTTATTCGTGACCTTGGAAACACACAACCAAACAGCTCTGGCTTTCTTGGGGCTGGCCCTACAAGCAGTGGCAGCGCAAGCGAGATTGTTGAACAAATGACGGATAATATTACCCACGGACGGATCAAAGCCATGGGCCGACATTTCCGCCAAACCTGCCCCGGAGACTGGGATAGAGGACGAATGGTAGGATTCGGCGGAACATTGCGAGCATACATTGAGCGCGACGAGTATAAGGAACGGGCGCCTATGTTTGCAGCAACTATCCGGTTCCGCTGGGAAATGGCACTTCTTACAGACTACGTCGTTAGCTACTTCAACCTTCCTAAGCCCGACAATCAGATATGCATAATGTGGAACGGTTTTGCCTGGATGGTCAGGATGGACAAAGCCGATCCTACTTGGCATGAGCGCGAGGAGAAAATCACCCGTGCCCTTGGCGAGTGTTTCCACCTAGTCCCCCGTGATGATCAAGGTCCGTTGTTCTTCCGACCTAATTGGTACTTGACAGCTTCTCTCGTCGAGGCAAACAAGCCCCACGAGGAGACCATGGCGATCATCTCCGCTATCATTCAGTTTATGGAGACATTGAATTATTTCCATAAGCAGCGTGCTTGTGAGGATGAGTGTGTCCGCCGCTGTGCCCGAGATTGGTTTAAGTCTATCGGCAGACGAGCTCTTCAGTCACTTTCCCCGTGAGGGCCAGCCAGCCAATTCTGTAAGCAAAGTCCGATCCCACCAAGAAGAGAAAGTTGAATGCGGGCTTTGAACAGACCATGGATGGCGTCCGACCTTCTTAGGTTAATGGTGGGGACGAAGACTTGGAGGAAGAGCTTCAGTCGGATGAGGGTCATGAACTAGAGCCGGAAGTGTGAGCTTGGAGGAATCCAGCAACTTGGAGAGGAGTGCCTTGCTCATAAAGTTTTCTTGTTTCTTTTATATTCATTTGCATTGATTACTCACAGAAATAGTCGGTCTCCTATGCTGCCAGAGGATATCTTTTTAGTATCTTTTAGTAGTCTCTTTAGTGGTCTTCTAGGTGGTCTTCTAAGTGGTCTTTTCAGCAGTCTTTTCAGATATCCTTCAGATATCTTTCTTAGGTATTTTCTCCCCCTTGCTGGTCTAATAGATAGTCGTCAAAAATGTATTGAAATGCGCAGACGACCTTCCCATGTGTAACCTTTGCAACAATGTCTAAGATTATTATTGCTTCTTTTCATTTCAACCTAAATGCATGAGCTACCCAGAGGACGAGGTCATATCCATCCTAGAAAGACTACCATAACAGTACAGCTGGCGGGGTGACCATAAGCAGCGTATAGACCATAATAACAAAGATTTTCACACATATTCGTCTATGGGGGTATGGTGGATATACTTGGTTTCCGTCGACTCTCATCAGATTGCATGTCTAGATTGATAGATTCTGTAGAACACGTCTATGGGAAGTTGAGTCATTCTTCAAGATCTTAGCGATTCTCTTTAGAATATCATGCATGTTGTACTTAAATCAAATCATGTGCTAGAGGTAATATGGATAGACCTAAGCGGGGCAACCAGTCAGGCGGGGTAGAAAAGTCAGCAATTTTCCCAAGCTCTACTTCACTTCTCACACATTTTTCAACTATTCAGTTAAGAGGTATAGCCCCTGTCTTATAGTATCTCTTGTGAGGACCTTGGTGGTTACTAACTCTATCAGATCTACTTCAACTATCAACAATGAACGGACACGCTGCCTGCCCCAAGTGTGGTGTCGCCACTGACGGCTCTGGCAAGAGCTGTGGCTCCTGCGGTGCTGTATGTTGATTCTGTAGTAAATATATGAGCTTATACTAACCGTACTAGACCTGCCCCGTTTAAGGTACACCCTATTGAATCGGCCTACTCGAGTGTTTAGACGAGTACCGGAGTTAGGACTGTTTGTGGTGTGATGACATGAGGATGAGCCAGGGCAGGACTGGGATATAATATGTTCATAGCAATGATATGATGACAAGAATGAACTCGAATCTATCCGAAACCAAGTGTGATTGTTATGTACGAAAACAAAAGAAATGACGTTAAATCAGTTCCCTGAAATGAAAAAAAAAGACATAAGAATGGTCATAGCCGACAAACAACCATCAGGATATAGAGTGTGCAATAAGAATACTTCCTCTCGTTCTTCCCTTTTGGGACCCCAAAATCACCCAAGAAGAGGGCCACCAACCTCCCTTTTCATCGCGGGTCAACTATACACCGCTTAGACAGGTCCGGCAGTCTTGCGCCACTGAGACCAAACACCGATCAAACTGCTGACGGTACCAGCGATACCGACAAGGCCATCGTCGAGGTTAACGATACCAACGGCAGACAAGGGCGCGGTCAGATCGCAAAGATCGGAGATGAGCTGTATCCGAGCAGCAGAGCGCTCCCTAATAGAATTGTTAGCCATCCATTTCCCATTCTAGTAATAAGTAGGAACCCATACTTCTCAATCTTCTTAGCCTCAACAACACCCTCACCCTCCTTGCGGTCAATAGTCTTCTCCTTCTCCTGGAGACGGACAAGGGTGTAAACACCAGCCACAGCGCTGAAAATCAGACCAGCGCCCCAAGAGCGGTAGGCGGAATCCTGCAGCCGCTTAGCGGAAGACAGTTTCCGAATGCCGACCACATCGATGACTGTGATAGCATCAAGGGTCAGGTAACCGGCATAACCGAGCTGACGACCGATAGCCAGGTATCGCAGAACGGGGTCAACGGGGCTCTTGTTATCGAAAGCGATAGCGGCGGCCTTGAGATGCTCGAGGAATTTGCCGATACGCATAATCTTGCGAGTCGTGCCGAACTGCTTCTTCACGGCATTGTAGGGATCGATCGCGGACTGGGGTTTGTTCGTCCGGTATAGGTACCACGCGTAGAAGCGGGAGAAGTATTGGATTGTGCGGAGGAGCTTGTCGCGACCGACTATAGATTGCGTGTTTGGTTAGCTTAGTCGGGTACGGGCGGGGAGAGCTCAGCTGGGCTTCTCGGCCGAGTGCTCGCCACATAGGTGGTTTGCTGTAGTCGCGAGGCAGAATAGGGGGGATTTTTTTCGTGTATGCATAGAGGTATGCTGGATGTTCCTTGGAGTTTGGGGTTGTATCACGTACCGGTTGTCGCGACGAAGCGTAGCCAGTGCGCCAGCGCAGGGTGGTAGATGAGAGTGTTAGCGACCATTTTTAGGGCGATGGAAATGGATGAAAAGCTTCAAACGGCTGAGGATGGAGAGTGTCAGGAATTAAATGTGATAGTTCATAAGGAAAGGGGAGTCGGTAATTGACCGGTGTATGGAGCCGGAAGACGACCTCGGCTGAACTCGTGCGTGTGGGGAGAGATCCGGAGGTACGATGTAATGTATTTACCATTATTACATGTATCAAGGTCTTTTCAACCCTTGTTCGCCAGAAATACGTTGAAATTCTTTGAAATGCTTGATTTCCTTCCATTTGATCGTTCTATCCACATGTGCACTCGGCTTCTGTTTCCTTTTCACGTGAGTCTATCTTCTAAGATATGTGTATAATCTCATATTTTATCCCTTGTTTTATGCTCGCCATTCTTGATTATTTCTTCGCACCTTAGAGATCCAAATCTAGTCTAGTTCCGATTTCATCTGTGCACGCATATCAATATTATTACAATATCAACATTGGATCAAGCACTCTTGTTAGCCCTATACTCGTGTTTCCCAGTCCTATCCTAAGTCAAGCAAATAGATTTCTTATCCCGTGCTCTCACAGATACCTTCCGTATTTGTTGATTATCCGAGGTACCCACGGTATAGTGCAAACTAGTTCCGGATCAGACAGCATTCACCGGGCCAGTATCATTGCTACGATACCCAATACCGATCTCGATACTGCTCAGATCACACTATATCATCCGTTTTGCAAAAAGGCCACCGAATATTTCTGTGGGGTCTGACGAGCTGTTGAAGAATACGGGTTCACCACCAATTAAACCTATGTTTTAAATAACATCGTAGCTTTGGCGATGGTTGCTGGCAGCGTTACTCTGTCTCCAAAGGAAGAGTGGAACGGATCATTTGTTGTTCTTTGCTGCATCCCAGATCTAGGGCGGCGACAGGCACCAAGATTGGACATACAATACTTGGAAGTGGATCATGCCACAAATCTGGAGTAAGTCCGGGGTAAAAAGCTGATATAAAATATGGCGGAACTTCCAAGGTTACGACATACAAGATTTCCATAGTTCCACTCGATATTTGATATTACAATATGTTTCTACTCTATGCAGCGCATTGTTTCTCAACTGTAAGAAACAGTAGAGCAGATTGTCGGATGTTTTTCCGGTAGTCAATGGTTGTGTTGATATGCTTGGTTGCGAAGAGCAATATATACCAAGTGTGTCGACAATATGTGAAAATGCACGAGGATACCGAGGTAGTATCAAGATAACCGCAACTTGTTCATAAGTCAGAGGTTCGATCTATAAGAACGAAGGGTGAGCAGATGAGCCAATTTATGATCTGATTATGTGGACAACATGTAGATTGGGTACCACTTGAATTAAATTGTTTGTAACTTAGGAGTTCATCTTCTGTCCCGCGAAATGCAGCACCTAGCCTAATCACCAGCAGATTAAACAGGATATGCCAGCGATCCTCCCATACATTCATGGGTCATGTCGTAGAGGCAATGGGTGGGATATCTCGAGTCGCAAGGGCCAGGTAGTCGCTGTCGTATTGATGGTATCTCCTCGTTGGTATTACTTGCTGTGCATTGCCGCGTGTGGGGGGATCGGTGGAATTAGTCAAAGTTGATTGGAACACAACGGCTCAAGGGGTGAGCAAGTGTGTGTCAGGCGCAGTGGGCATAGTCATTGGGTGACCGAATTACTCTTGTTCGCGAGTGACGGTCTGGCGGTTGCGATCGCCCATTGTCGTGGTATCGTAGCCATTAGCCTCGAGATAGGCACGGAATCTGGCATCCTCGAAAGTAATTGTGTCCTAAGAAAAGGTCAGCACATCAACAAGGTACTCAATATGCAGTAATACATACCTGGTTAATCTGCGGCAGCATGAAAATGGCCATGAAGGCGGCCAAGATACACAGTGCGCTGGAGACGAAGAATGGATCCTGGCCTGCGCGGATCGGGTTGGGCGCGTTCTTTTGAATGACTGGAATCACGTACGCGCCCACAAAAGCTCCGACCTTCCCGATAGCGGCAGCATATGAGTAGTATTGGCCACGGATAGCAGTCGCGCTGGTCTTGGCAGCGCAGAGACCGATGTTGTCGCCAGGTCCCATTTCACCAAGGGCAGAGAAGATTCTGTGCTCAAAATATTAGCATTGACGATTGCTAAAGTTCAAGAAATTTGTTGGTAAACTTACCCGAATACGACAACAAAGGCTGCCACATTTTCTGGGGTCGCAAGATACTTGTAGCACCCGGCCATGATGAACCCGATGATACCCTGGAGCCCAACACCAAGGGCAAGGGTGTAGCGAGGGCCAATCCAGTCACTCAGGAAGGCTCCAAGGGCGGAACCTGGAATGTAGAAAGAATTGACCAAGGTAGACCAGCCAAAGCTCTTCCACAAGGGGGCGCTATCACCTAAGATAATCGACAGCCAGGCCGAAGAATAAATACTGAAGCTGTAGGCAGAGAAGTCGTAAAGGAACCAGATAATAGAAACAACAGCCTATATATCAG